CTTGGTCTACAGAGAAGTTCCAGGACAGGTAGAGCAACAAAGAGAAACCCTGTCTGAAAAACAAAACGAAAAAATAAATAAGGCAGACGGGTGGGGGAAGTATGTAATTCGGTTGGTAGGGGTTTGCCTAGCGCACAAGTAGCTCTGGCTTAGGTTCTCAATACCACATAAACAGAACATGGCCAGCCCACACCTGCAGTCTTGGCACTCGGGAAGTGGTGGCACGATGATCCAAGTTCGAGGTCAACCTTGGGTTCATAGCCAGATTGAGGCCGATCAAGCCTGGGTTACATGAGACCCTGTTTCAAAAAGGAAAGAAACTGTAAAAGCAAGGTTGGGAAATGACCTTGAAACTCAAGAGGCGACTTATTTGGGAGGAGCACAGATGCCTGGAAGCCTCAGCTTCTTCACTTAGGACAGCAGGAAGAAGAGCGAGTGTTTGGCACTAGGGTTGGGGAAACTTGAACTTTGGGAGGCAGGTGTCACATGGAGATGGCTGACACTATACAGTATCCAGAGGCGTGTCTTCCCTCTAGGAAAGATGCAGAGGATGGAGAGGGTGGAGCTGGGTGGAGCTGGGCAGAGAGAACGAGGGAGGCCAGATGTCAAAACATCCCTTGAGGACAAAGTTGTAGTTACTGAACTAGGCTGTTCAGGAACCATCTGTGATTCAGCTACTTCCTGGAACACTGTTCACATCTGCCCTGAACGGTGACACTTCACCATTCACATCTGCCCTGAACTGTGACACTTCTTCACCATTCACATCTGCCTGGAATGGTGACACTTCACTTGTCTCAAAGCGAGTTTTTCTCTTTATGAAGTGTCAAGCTTCTCTACCTGAGGAGGTGAATCTCGGGAGCAGAAGTTGGAGTCTGACGGGGACTTGGGCTCGTCCTTCTTCTGTGGATTCGCCACACTGATATAGCCCTTGCGTGATAGGCGAGCCAGAGAAACTTTTTAGTTAAGTTACATGAACATCCTGCTGTTGCTCTCACCGGCATCGCTTTGTCTATCCTTGTCTTTTTTCCGTATTTCTCCAAAGTTCAGTACCCATTTAGTGTCAAGAGTACGATTTCTTAGTGCCCAGGCAACAAAGCCTGGGTTCTTAAATTTCCATGGCAAAGTGGTGACTTAGTCCCCTTGAACTCCTCTTGTCCTGATTGACAGTGACTCTGGGGGGTGAATCCCATCCTAATTCAGCTTCCTATCAGATTAGTATTTTCCTCTTACTTAATTGGGGATAGATTTCACAGGACTCACATTCTCCCAATGAAGTTGTGGCTTCCAGACTTCATTTGTAAAAATCTTTTTGGGTGTTAATTCTTTAGACTCACCTCCCCCCAAATCCACACACACCACCACCACCACCACCACAATTATAAAAGAGCATCCTTCGAATGTCCTCATTGCATCCCAAGATATAAGGAACTCTTGTATTCCAAGGATCATAAGGCATCGGAGAGAGATGCCTGTGGTTGTCTGGTGTTCCCTAGTCTGAGAGCTCAAGGGATCCTCTTGATCAGGGATTCAGGATGTCCCTACCCTGTGGGTGGCTTGACTGTCTTGAAGAAGAGCACTGGGAACATGGAGTGGCAGGCGGATAGTGACATAGGCACACATACGGCCAGGACTGGCGAAGGGTATACCTCAGTGGAAAGCACATGCCAGGCATGAAGTTCAATCCCCCATGTGGTAGTAGACACATACCGTGCATCTAAAATCAAGCTTGTACACCATAGCTCCTGTGAATGGTATATGTTCACAAAAGGCTATTTGTTTACTTATTTTATTGTTCTAGGGGTCAAATCCAGGGCTTTGCACAAGTTAAGTAAGTACTTTGGCACGGAGCTATACCTTCATCCCCTACAAAGGGCCTTTTGAGAAGAGCCGTGGTAGGATTAAAACTGCCAGGCTTGTGACGAAAGCTTTCAGTGCATGTCAGACCCGGTTTAGACACGAGGGGAGGTGGCTCAAGGAAGAAGAGCAATTATGGAGGGAGAGACGTGATGGATCCAGCAGCAAACACTGCCTTGTCCAAGAAAATAATCCTTGTGGGTAGAACTAAGAGCAACTTGACATTTTCTCATTTTTCCGTGTTTGTGACCTGGTTGGGAAGACTGAAACACGGGGCACCGAGCCTTCTTTATCAGCAGAGATTCAGAGATTGCTGCAGGTTTGGATGCTAGCACTGCCAATGGCTGGTGTGCGGTTACAGAGTTCAAACCCAACTAGATAAGATGTGCCTAAAGACCTTCGTGAAGCGGACAGGAACTTGAGATTCCGTATCCTTGTCATTAGTTTATGTCTAGATGGTTTTCCCTAATAGGTAAACTTTCCGGCCCTTTAACTCATTGTATTTAAGTATCTAAACACTTAGTGAGAGTTTGAGAGCCGAGTGTGGCCAGTGGTAGGGTACTTTCCTAGCGTGCTCAAGGCCCTGGGCTTGATCCTTAATACTGCTAAAGAAAAAAAAATAGTAAAAGTTTGCCTTATGGGGAAAGTTTGTAAAGAGGACTCTAAGGGCAGCATTTCCCCTCATTTGTTTTTTCTTGATGGATGTCATCACAAATCACACATTCCTGGGAAGTTCCAATCAAACCGGTGGATGTGAACCCTTCCGCTTTGCTTCCTGCTCCATAATAGCAAATATCATACCCCACATATTTCCCTCCTCATCCAGGAAGTGAGGGGCGAATTTCCTGTTAATGCGCCTCCGTTCTGAGAAACCATCCGAGGACTACATCAGGTCTGTCTGCATCGCTTGGTTGCTTTTACTTCCTTGAGTCCTTTGGATCCCTGAAACGCAAAGGTGGCTTCCAGGCCTGTGCTTTATAAGGATTTGTTTCAACAGGCGTCTCAGGAAGAGGCTTGGTGTGGCATTTTAGCTCTTCACTGGAGAGCACTTCCTTTTCGGTGGAAGTTGAAGGCGGTGGAAATAACCCTGGCCTTTGCATACTGATAGCAAGCCTGAGAATGAGAAACTGGGCTTCTGTCCAGTGCTACGAGCCAATAACGAAGTCCCAGCTATCAGAAAACTGGATCCTGGCTCGGGTGTGTGTGGGGGGGTGATACACAGAGTGTCTTTGTTTCTCAGGGAGTTTGTGGTCTTTCCAGGTCATCTGGGGACTTAAGGTAGAGTGAGGATGAAGGCTGGCCTCCTTGATGGGGCTGAGGCTTGTCCTTGTCCAGCCAGTCCTTGAGTGGCATGTGGCTTTTATTGTTAGCCACTTCTACCAGTACTCTGGAGGGTGGCTTTGAGCTTGCCCTGCATTACGGAGACATCCTGTACTGGCATGTGCGTCCAAATCTTACATTTGCTTCTTATTATCTCTGTGATCTTGAGCAAGCCGTTTGGCTTCTTCTTTAAGCTTCAGTCCCACACATGTAAAACATGAGGACGCTTTATCAAATTGTGAGGATTCAGTAAGGGGCAAGTGTACAGCACTCATTGCATCGCACAGGGAAACACCTCCAGGGGAATTCAGGGCTTCCCAGTTCATCCCCCTCCTACCTTCCTTTACCACCTTTTCTCTGCCTCCATTCCTGTGAGACTCAGCAAGACTGGAGACAACTGAGGGATGAACATGTTTGAACTCCTCAATGCTCCAGAGAAGACCTTCCCCCAACCTGAAGTGGAGGGAGATTCAGCTACAGAAAACTGTCCAGTTCACTGTATGTGTTTTTCTGTCCATGCTGTACTCTTTTACAAACACTGAGTACGGATGGCCTGTTTCTTCTGCGATTCTCAATGTGTTTGTGCACGGGAGAGGTGGGCATCACACAACCTAGTCTGATTGTGGTCACTCTGTGAGTGTCAAGGTCCTGGAGGGTGATGGCCTCAATCCGTTGCATGGGGTAGTTTTCTTTTCTGTTCTAGTTTTGTGTCATAATCCCTGATTCCAGGAAAGAATGGATATTGTCACCCTATTAGTTCGTGTGTGTGTGTGTGTGTGTGTGTGTGTGTGTGTGTGAGAGAGAGAGAGAGAGAGAGAGAGAGAAGGGTAGAAGGGTCTAGGGCAAAGTAAGCTGTGGTCAGGTTCAGTGGGAAAGATCAGGAGAAATTAATAGAACAATCCTCTTAAGTCATTTCTTTCTTGTTCCAGCACATCAAGACAGTTTACATGTAGTCATGGGTCCTTGTTTTCCATTGAGAAGGGGGAAAGCTTTCTGAGATGAACCTAGAAGGGACGGGGTCAACAATCCTGGAGTCGATTACAAGCCAAAATGGTACAAGGAGCAGGATGCAGGGCTCCAGTGGACACTTTCTCTCTCTCTCTCTCTCTCTCTCTCTCTCTCTCTCTCTCTCTTTCTCTCTCTCTCTTTCTCTCCTCTGCCCCTCCCTCCATTCCTTCCTTCCTTTTTGTTTTTTAAGACAAAACTTCTCTGTATAGCTTTGGAGCCTGTCCTGGATCTCACTCTGTAGACCAGGGTGGCCTCAAACTCACAGAGATCTGCCTGCCTCTGCCTCCCAAGTACTAGGATTAAAGGCGTGTGCCGCCGCCACCCAGCCACTTTCATTTCTAATGAGTTTCAAATCCTTCTGGTTTGGGGGTTGCAGAAGAAGATATCAAGGAAACAGTGTGTGGAAGGAGCATAAATTTGATGATGAAAGATCTCATGATTGGTAAGAACTTCCAAGATTTTGATTCCAAGAAGAGTCAAAAGCTAGTGAGGACCTTCCAGCTTTCGGAACAATTTGGTTCTTCAGAGTTCCATTTGAACCCCACTCCCTGTACTAGAACACTAATTTATTTATCCATCCCCTCTGCTCTGATGATGTTTAGAAGTCCATTACGTTGGGAGCATGGGGACCATGGGAGAGAACTGAAGGGGAGGGGAGAGGCAAGGAGGGGAGCAGAGAAAAAAATGTATAGCTCAATTAAATCAATAAAAAAAAGTTTATTCTGGCCAGGCGGTGGTGGTGCATGCCTTTAATCCCAGCACTTGGGAGGCAGAGGCAGGTGGATCTCTGTGAGTTCAAGACCAGCCTAATCTACAAAGTGAGTTCCAGGACAGCCATGGCTGCACAAAGAAACCCTGTCTTAAAAAACAAAAAATAAAAATGTTTTTTCTCTAATTTTTTTTTTGAGTCCTATACTTAACTGTTAGAGTGTTGTTGGTGGTCTATGGTCTTTCAAGAGACCTTCCTTCTTATATGCAAAGTAGAGAAAGACTCCCCTGTGGAATAGGACTGAGATAAAAGGCTAGCAGGATCTGGCTGATGTCCAGAGTGATGGTATTGACTTACTGCATTTGGCAAGAATTGAGGTTGGCAAGACTTGTTTTTTGGCTGATGTCATCCACAAACAGAGAGTCAATCTGTAGGTTCGATTATGACCACAATGAGCCCCAACAATGACCTTCCTTGCTTGGGGGAAAAAAAAAAACAAACCACAAGTGAAGAACAGCCAAAAACAAACAATAAAAAACCCTTGGTTCCCACAATGCACTTGGACTCCTGGGGTCTTCCTGTGGCTACGCAGGAACAAAAGCACAGGCAGGTTTGATGGGGGTAATGGCCCTACCGTTTATTCTTAAGTGGGGAGTGAAGGGAGGGAGAGGCGCAGAAAAACGTTCCCTCTTGCACACAGAGTCCGGTCTACTGGAGAACAGGTGATTGTTCCTCCCGTTCATCAGCTGCAAAAGTCTGTCTCATCCTCCCGCCCGTCCTTCAGTACCCTCAAATCCGCATCTCCCAGGAAGCACTCTGCAGTAACCACTCAACAAACCCTGGCTAGAGAAGTTCTCGCACGCCTTGCGTTAGCTTGATTGTGCTGCAGGGAGGATGGGAGAACACAAAGCGGGGCAGAGGGTGAGGGTTCCGAATTGTACCGCCTGGCTCAGGGTGTACCGGGCCAGGTGTTCTCCAGGCATTCCGTTCTCCCTCCTTCCCTTCCTCAGCTCCGGGGACACCAGACTCTGACGGGCCAGTCCCACCACCAAGCTCAGAGGCATCAAGCCCAAGAACAGAATATAGACACAAAACACCAAACAAATTGAGGGTGGGCTCCCAGGCAGATGCTCCATTAGCCAGGGTCATTTCTCAACCCTCAGCCTCTGTGGCATGGGCTATGCACAGTGGGGAAGGTGGGGTTTCTGGAGCAACTCAGTGCTAGGAAATAGTCCTCCGTTCCCCAAGGCTGTAAGGAATACAGGCACCAGGGATGGCTTATGGGCAGCAAGAGGAGCTAGGAGAGTGGACAGCAGTTTCATAAAAGCAAACTTCTAGCTGCCACTAGTGCCCTTGGAAGGACAAGGTGGCTGAGGGGCCTTTAGGGAAGAGCAGGGGACAAAGCCCTGAGCACTACGCACTCTGCTGCATCCTCTTCATTTTCCACCCGGGAGCCAGATTTGTGCTTGATTAGAGCTTTGGAGGAAGGTGGTAACAGAGGTGCTCAGAGGCCACCATGGTGGCGGCCAGTTCTAGGGTCCTCTGCAAAGTAGCCCCAGTCCTTGGAGAACGAAAATGTGCCCTGTCCTCCTCCCTGGCCCGTCCCCACCACAGTGCGGGATCCTCAGACGTGAGTCTGCATCCGCCGCTGCAGGGGTCGACTGGGGTCGGAGTTCTGGGAAGAGGACTGGGAGTGGTGGGAAGAGGAGGCAGAGGCCTTGCTGGCCTTGTCGAACTGCACGTAGCCGTCCTGCTTGCCGCTGCTGCTGACACTGCTGTCGCACTGCGTGTCCAGGAAGGAGCTGCTGTCGCTGAGGGAGCCCCTCTGAAACTCCCGCTCGCAAAGCTCGATGGAAGAGCTGCCCATGCCCAACACGAACCTTTGTCCGTAGTCGTAGAGGCGGCCCTGGCCACTCAAGGTGCTGTAGATGTTGGTGAAGGACATGCCTGTGGGCACGCGCTGTTTGCCTGGAGGACGCAGGTCTGGCTGGCAGCTGGACAGGGAGATGGTTGGGGTCGAGTGGTGCTCTTTGAAGGTGTTTACGCTGTAGTAGCCATTGGTGGGGTCCTGGGAGGGCAAGAACAAGAGGCATTTCACTAGGGAGCCTTCACTGGCAGGAGGCTGGGCTGACCAGTCCTTCTTTGCACAGGGGAGGCATGGAGGGGAGGAAGGGATGGAGAGGAAGGGTATTGACCAGAAAACCGGAAGGGTTAGCATGGCAGGGATGCGAGCCAAGCCTGGCGCATGCTCATTTGTCAGCAGGGGGAGGGGAAGCTGTACAAGACCCCGTTTATACAAGGGGGATGCAAATCATTGGAAAAGCGGTCTCTAATTGTTTTTGTGTGTTTGTCCAGAACATGAATACTGACTTTTAAAATCTATATGTGATAAGGCTGTGGGAAGGGAAACCTGTAGGAATCCAGCCTCAACTCAGGGGCAAGGAGAGCAGGAACTTTCAGCCCCTCACCCTCAGTGATACCTGTCCCCAACCGGCCCTGGGCACTTCCATTCTGCATGCTGTTGTGGTTCTTTGCCAAAGGCATGGGGCCATCATTTTTATGGTCCAGCCCCACTGTGGCTAACCCTACCTTTAGGTTCTGGAACTCCTTCTCCTCTTCTTTGAGGACCTCCAGCTGCTTCAGCACCGAGTCTTGTTGGAATTCACCCCGGTCCATCTACAACCCAAAAATGGCTAACTCAGTGCGGAGAAGGTGGGCTCAACTCCACCTCCTTCCAGGAGAAGATGAAGAAATGAGCTCCAAGGATTGCCACATGTCTCCCCTGCGCATCCTGAACTGCAGAAAGGCGGGTAAAGAGGATACAATTCCAGACCTCAGTAAGGTTCTGGGAGCCCTCATTCCAGGACAGAGACAGGAGGGGAGAGCGGATGAAGCATCAGTATGACTGTAAAGCCGTGTCTTCTTCCATTGGGCAGGGACATCCTCACCAGACTTCTCACTTGAATATTTGTTGAAAAATTCAGGCCAAGCCATGCACTAAGAGCCCTGTGTATACAGAGTACGATGCAAATAGACAGAGTTCTCTCTGCTCACCAGGGAGACAGATGTACCCGAGGTAAGTAAGCAACCCCAGAATATCAACACTGGGTAGAGAACAGGCTCTTTAGGGCAGTCTGTCAACTGGGGCCGGGATTTTGGAAGGAGTCTTTGTCGAGATGCTGGCAACATAGGCGAACTATCTCCACAAAGGCCATGTATTCAAGGCTTGGCACCCTTTGTGTGGCACTGTTAGGACATAGTGCTTAGTTGAAGGAAGTGAGATCACTGGTGGTGTGCCTTAGAAGAGGTCACTGGAACCTTGGTCCCGCTTGTCTCTTTTTGCTTTCTGGCCAGCATGAGGTAGACAGTCTTCCCTGAGGCAGACTTTGCTGTGATGTTCTGCCTTGACGTGGGTCTGAAGGCATCAAGGTCACACGAACGTGGGCTGAAGCCACAACCAAAGAAACTGTTCCTCTTTTATTTTAATTAATTAATTAATTGATCTCTGTGTGTGTGCATCCATGGACTCACATAAATGCACGTCACGGTGTGTGTGTGTGTGTGTGTGTGTGTGTGTGTGTGTGTGTGTGGATAGCAAAGGGCAGTTTTCCAGAAGTTGGTTTTCTCCTTCCTCTGTGGTCCTAGAGTTCAGACTCAGACTGTAGACTTCAGCATCATTGGCTTTTCCCTTCCAAGTCACCTCGCCAGGGCTGGTGGTGGTGTTATGAGACAGAGACTCATTCTGTAGCTCGAGTTGACCTGGAACTTTCAGCAATTCTCCTGCTTCCCAGGTCTTAGAGGTATGAGCCACTGTGGATTTTTCTTTGTGAGTATATTGTGTATATATGTATCTTTGTGCGTGTACGCACATGTGTGTGCATGCACATGTGTATGTGTGCACGTGTGTGTTCACATGTGTGTGTAGGCTAGAGGTTGGCATTGAGTATCTTCTAAAATCACGTTCCATCTTATTTTTTGAGACAGGGTCTCTAACTGAGCCCAGAGCACACCAATTTAGCTAGCGTGGCTGTTCAGTGAGCCCAGTAGATCCTCCTGTCTCCACCTCCCCACGACTGGGACTACTGGGTCTTTTTCACATGAATTCTGAGAGAATTGAACTCGGGTCCTCATGCTTGTGTGTCGAAACACCATGTCAACTGAGCCATCACCCCCTCCCCCCAGCCCTGATTTTCTCAGTATCTGTCATAGCAATAAAAAGCAGACTGAGAGGCTAGGTCACACCTGTTCCTCACAGCAGTGACTGTCTTCCTTAACATCTGCCAACCAGCCTGAGGGAAGAGGGAAGAGGGAAGAGACCTTGCTCTCTTTGAATGCCCACCACACCTGGCTGAGAATGTGTATATTGTGGTCACTGACTAGAATGCCTCTGGCCAGGGTGAGTGCCGGGCTTGTTATCTGAGAATGAATGGCGGCTGAGCTCTAAATCACTGAGCGTAATGATGAGGTGTAAGATCAGAAGGAAGCTTCCACAGTGGTGCAGAGGGAACACAGGGATGCTTCCCCAGACTTCAGGTACCTCACCCCAGCAGTGGTGCTCCAGCTCAGGCTCCCACCCAGCTCTCTGAGAGGTGTTTTGTTTCTCCCTCTTGCATTGTCTCAGTCTTGGAGGTCCACAGAATGGGCCAATGTGCTTATATCCTGTTTTTCTCTCACTAATTGCATTACTTTTTTCCTCTCCGTTTTTCCAGTAAATGTTTTGGTTCTATCTAGATTGTTGTTGCTCTTCTCCCCCCTCCCATAAAACATCTAAGCCTACTTCCCCTTGATGATGGAGTGTTTCCCAGTCCACAGGGTGTAAGAGGAGGGGACTGGGAGAGCATCTTCCCAAGGGAGAGACTAGTTCCAGAACCTCAGCAAGTCCCTTCTTCCAAATTACCCCCTCTGCTCTTCTCCAAATACTCAGGGACACCTTTCCTCTTTTGAGGGCTTGATTGTGAGACAAAAGAAATGCCTCCTTGTGAGAGGGTAGAAAAGGAGGAAGCGTAAACAGCATCATTTCCTTTTAGGTCTGGGATGTGAGTTCCCTTTTGCGAGAAGGAACACCTCCCTACGTCAGGTACTAGCTACCCTGTCAGGGAGGCCCCAGGGTAAATATATGACCTTTGCCCTTGAAAAGCTTCAGAGTCTTTGAAGAGGTTTCCTTGTCCTCAGCAGTGGGCTGTCAAAGGGGCTCAAGGGAGTGCAGCAAAGAGGGCAGGGCTAGCCATTGTGTGAGGAGGGGGCAGGCTGAGAAAATCTTGGGATGGATGACATTTGAAACATATCTTATTGTAGGACGTGAAACTCAGCGGGCATGTCAACAGGGAGAGGGGACATGGGTCCCAGGACTCCTAGACCAGGATCACCCATCCTTACATCTGGAAAGCCAGATCTGTTTGGCTGGAAGATGGGACTGGAAAGATTGGCAGGTACCTTGGAGCAAAGGGAGTGATGACATGTCGGGCAGCTGGACTTCATCCAGCAGACGTGGAAACCACTGAGAGACTTCAGTAGATTATCACAGGAGCAAATTGACCTTTAATATTTTATTTGGTTTGAGACAGAGTCTCATTAATTAGTTCGGACTGGCTTCGAAGTCACAAAGGCACTGCTGTTTGCTTTAACCTTCTGAGTGCTGGGGTTCCAGGTGTGTGCCGCCAGATTGGTAGTTCAGAAAGGCTCTTTTAGCAAGGTCCCAGAGGCTTGATTGTGACAAGTGGCCGAAGCCAAGGTCCATTAGTGGGTTGCTGCAGAGGTCCAGGGAGTACTGGCAAGGCCCCCAAAAGGGAAGCAACCATGGAGGAGAGGTGGGACACATATCTGAGATGTATTTTTGAAGCAGAATTGACAGACCCTGAAAATCAGTTGACTAGAGAAAGTGTAGCAGAGAGAAAAGTCAGCTCCATTCATCAAACATTGGTGAGCCTCTGCCAGGGATGAAGTAGGCGGCAGTTGCTCCCCATCTAGTGGGTATGTTTAGAGCAACACAATAGTTAGAAATTCTTGGGCTCTTAGAAGCTCTACATTCCTGGATTCTGCACAGTGGATTCCACCAATCACAGATCAAAAATATTTAGGGAAAATTGCCTGTACCGAACAAGCATATTTTACTCATCATTAATCCTTAAGCAATATGGTACAGTAATTGTTTATATCACATTATAATACATTACATATTATAAGTAGAGATGATTTATGTATAGGAGAGAATACAGGTAGTTTCTGGGTAAATGTTATACATACTTTATACAAGAGACTTGCACATCTTCAGATTTGAGTATCTGAGAATCATGGGACCAAATCCCACACAAAGGTCAAGGGAAAACCCTCCTGTAGCCCATATCACTCAGGTTGTTACCCCTGTGATCCTGCTGATGACCCTGCATATCACTGTGTTTGTATCCATCTCGTAGACTGAGGCTCAGAGAAGCCCATGTCCTTTAATCCTTGCTCTCTTGTTCCCAGATATTCCTACCATTTAAAGTGCGTTCTATGAGCTTCTGGCATAGCTTAGTAGGCTTCTGCCTGGACAGAGAGGCTCATTCTGGTCTTTGAAAAGAGGATCAGGAAGAGGAGGTGCCGGCTTGGTGCTGCTGGAGAAGTTTTACATTTGCTTCTGATAGACATCCAATTCCCAAGAAGGAACCAGTGCTCCTGGAGGACTTTGTGTGTGTGTGTGTGTGTGTGTGTGTGTGTGTGTGTGTGTATAGACTGCATGTAGGCACACATGTAAATTTAAGCATGGATTTTTTTTCCCTTCTCAGTGGTCAGGATCCAGGTCATTTTACATGCATTATACATGTCTTTGAATCTCCCATATTACTTCACAGATGCACAGGCAAAATGCTCATTGGCTGAGCGTAGGCCTGGGGCAGGAGGGGTTTTTCTGGATGAGTTGCCTCACAGCAGGATGGAGAGGATCAAAGAATCTCTGTTCTCAGGATGGAGTGGGGCACAGGTGGCATTCTTACCATCAGCTGCTTGATGGTGGTGTGATCTTCAGCCTCCCGACCAGAAGTTGGCTCCTTGTGTACAATCTCCACTCGGATATCATTTTTGGCTGACACAACACCTTTGAGATCTAGACATAAGATAAGAGAAAGTGTAGACAAAAAATTCAGTTCTCATCCTCAGGCAAGAGAGGTCAACTTCCCCACAGCCCCGTGCCGCCACCCATTTCTCCACCCCACCTCAGAATTTACCCTCCCCTCAGACTGTGAATTTGAAGTTTTGAGGGTTCCCCACCCACAGACCCTCTCTGGAGATCTCCTTTTGGTTAGAATGGGTCTCAAAGGCTGCCCATGCAGGCTGCCCAGCTCCTGGGTACAGAAGCATCAGTATCTCCTGTGGCTGGAGAGGTTGTCCTCTTTCATCCCCTCCCCTCACCTAGCTAGGCCCTGCCATCCTGAGTCCCCATTCTCTTTGAGAAGTTGTCTCTGTCCTTCTTTACCTGGATTTGAACTCCCCATTTCTAGTGTTACAAATCTTAATGATAAAAAGATTATAAGGTCTCCTATGCAATCCAGAGCACACAGAGGTCTGGCTTCCCTGAACGAGGAGCAGCCTGTGAGACAAATCTTACTGAAATCTGCTCTCCTATCATTCCTATGCAGAGGCAGCAGGGCCATCTTGTTGGGTAAGGTTGTAGGTAAGGTTGCTTAGATGGGAGTGGAGAATATGTTAGGGAAAACAGAGGCTTCTTTCCAACAAGTGAAAGGTGCCAGGTGATGGCAACCTGTTCTGGTGACTCAACGCATCCTGATTCTAGAAGCTCAGAGTTGGCTGGAGTCATCAGAGTCTTGCCATCCAACCCTCTAATATCACAAATGAGGAAACTGGGGTCTTAAACACATGTGACTTGCCCAGGGTCACAGAGTAGAAGACTGCACCACACCTATCTCCAACTCAACTCTGCTGTCTTACTTCTCCCTTACACGGGTAAGGTGTAACTCCGGACCTGAGCCCTATGTACATACATTCTTTAAGAGTGTGCTGGCGTTTGAACTGTACTGCTAATGATGAAAGATATTTAAACCAGAACAACTCTTCACATGCTTTCATGCCCTGTGTGGCTGACTTGCTTTTCAGGTTAAGCTAGTAGTTTGCAGAATAAGGAGGGTCAAACCACCCCCTTCCCTCTGAGATTTTTTATCCACCCCAAATAAGAATGCTAGATGTCCAACCCAGAGCGCTGTGGCCTGTCCTTCTAGATGGAGGCCAGCTGGGTTTGGCTCAGCCTCAGTGGAGTTCCCACTTGCTGCCAGACACCCTCCAGGTGCATAACAGAGCATCGTACCCATCCCTGCCCCAGGAGCTCACAACACTGTTATGGCCCGTTCGTTGCACTCCTGCTTACTTGCTCTCCTGGGCAGTCTAAGCCTGGCCTTTTTCTCTGTCCCCCTCCCTGAGATCCCGGGTCTCCCTCCCGTACTTCTCTGGGAACGGGCACAGCAGAAGGCCACAATGGTTGCCATTAGGACGAGGAAGGCCACGCCAGCTCCTACGGCCACCCCGATGATGACGGCCATTGGCACAGACTCTGTGGGAGAGAAACAGACAAGGCTGATGAGGGACAAGGAAACCTACTGTCCCGCTAGGACCCTACCCAGTCCCTCAGGTGCAGCCCCTGGCAAGCTGGGACCAGACCACTGCTGTGTGGGTCCCTCTTGGGAATGCCTTGGTCAGGCCTGGGCAGGCATAGATGGTCCAATAGGGGTCAGCTCTGGATAGGAATGCTAAGGCTGGATAGAGGACATAGGGTAGGTGGAGAGTAAGAGGAGCCAGGGGAAGGGGTAGATAGATGCTAGACCAGACAGTGGAGGGCCAGGGGGTGGGGTGGGGAAGAAAACTAGAGATGCAGGGTGAGGCTAGCCTAATTTAGCTCTCTTCAGCATTGAGGAAGGGATCTATAATGCATGCAGCAGCTGGTGAGTCATAAGTCCATGGCTTTTCTTTGAAAAAAAAAAACATGGTGATGGTCCCTGCCCTTGTTTGTTCGGCTCCTTCTGTACTTCCCTTTCCGTGGTACAGGGAGAGTACACACAACGAACTCTTAAGGTTTTCAGCTCTGAGGCGACTTCCCCTTCCAGCCTGCTGGGACTCAGGACCCACAACCCACATGTGAAAGTGTTGGGACTAGGGAGGTCAATCACATCTTTCTTTGCTACCACAGTGCTCAGGAGAAAAAGCCTTTCTTTTCCCCTGGACCTCCCCACCTTCTCTTTCAAGGCCAGCCCTCCAACTTCCGCCACCTGTTCCAGCCCCAAAGGGCCCAGGGAGCCTCACTTTGCTCCTTTTCCAGCCTGTCTCTGGCTCTTGCCAAATGGGCAAGAATGGTAGGTGATGATGCGGGGAGGGAGACTGATTTCCCATAAAGCTCTGCTCATCCTATGGATGCGTGTGAGCCCTGAACACATGATTTTAGGCCCAAGTCGTCTACCAGGAACAGCTCTAGGAGATTCTGAGGCAGAGAGAAATGGTGGTAATGAACCCAAGCCTCTCATCTGGTAAATATAGTGAAGTCCAGAGAAGTCAAGCGATCTGTTCAAGGGCACGTGTGGTTACTGTGTGTGAACAAGCTCAACCCAGGTCTCCTCATGCGACTCCCAAGCTCATCCTGCTCTGGTCTCTGGGTCACATGGTGTCCTACAGGTGTCATGGACTCCATCCAGCCCAGGCTGCTTGCTCATTGTCCCCACTTGCTCCATCCCACCTTTCAAGCAGCATATTCCCTGTCTCTTATCTGTAGAGTGGAGTAGTCATCGTGTGAAGTCAGGGGTTGTTAAGGGCTTTCGGTGAAAGACTGTGGAGAAAGGTCTTGGAGCAGAGCCAGGGGCCCAGCTCTCATCAAGGATTTGGTCCAGTTACTCCGTGTGTATGGAGGACAGCGGTAGACAAAAGCCTTAGCTGGGAGGAAATTCCTCTGAATGCCTGAGCTTCTTCCCCACCCACATTCACCTGTGCGGCTGGGCTGACCCACAGAAGGTGAGGTGTTTGCTCTGGAGCTCTGCTTACCGCATCATTGTTCTTTTTTTTTTTTTTTTCCCGTTTGCTGTTTTGGGAATGAAACTTAGGGTTTCATGCATACTAAGCAAGTACCCTGCTACCCTGACCCCAGTTTACTAAAGAGAAAGAAACACTGAGATTCTGGTTCCCAAGCTGTTGCTGTGAAGTGGGGGGCACCTACTAGGCAGATCTGGTATCTCACCACCGCAGGGTTCTCACGTGAATTCTTTTGTTACCTACCTATTCGTGGCCAAGACTACTGCAGAGGTGACAGGAGGTGACTGAGAGGAGGTAAGAATGGCAAATCCCCAAGACTGAAAGGGGAAGTGTGGGGGCTGGGCTCAGAAAACAGGACTGAGAAAAAAAGATGCGATCTCAGCCAAGCTGGCTTTGACAAACAGATGTTTCTGGTTAAACCTCATTGGTTCTGTGGTTTGAATTTCTTTGTTTTGTGTTAGATCTGGCACTCTTGGGATTCCTAGTACATTTCCTAGGGGAAACTCAGGGGTGTCTCAGCTCCTCTCAGAGCCAGTGCATATTCTCTTAAAACCACCAGGTTTCAACTTTTCATCCATAGCTCAGAGAACCAAGGCGGCAGAATGGTGGTCACTGCTGCCTTGTGCCCTCTGAGCCCACATTGCCTTGGGTTGTTAACAACTGGGGATGGGTGGGTCTTGGGTAAGCAGTGGCAGAGGAGAAGGGATTTGTGAAGGCAGGTGGCATCCCTTACCAGATCCCCAGTATGTCTCCTCCTCTCCTGGCCCTTGAAGTTTGATTTAGTTCATCTTTTAAGGCTACTTCTTTCTAGACAGAACGTTCCTTTGAGAAGGACTGGGGAGGGGTTCCCTTGCTTGTTCCTTTCCATCTAAGGAAGGGGACTGGGCCTGAGGGGTCTTAGTCACTGAAGGAGGAAGGGGCATGACATAGAGACAGGAGAGAGTAACTCCACAGGACCTGGACTCCTGGAGAGTCTGAAGATCTGGACGGACCACAGGGGCCTCTGCGGGGTGGTTGTGATCTAGACCGGTGCTCTGAGAAGGGCATGTGTGTCCAGGGAATAGAGAATGTGGGGTCCACGTGTAGCTAATTAATGGAGTGGCATAGGCTGGACAACCAGTGTGGGCAGAGGACTGAGACGGAGGATCCTCAGGCCCATGGCCACTCCTGCGGAGGAGGATTTACCAAGTCCTGCTGTTCTACTCTGGTGTCCTGCCTGGGGGTGCAGAGGGGACAGTTGTCTAGATGGAACCAATCATCCCATGGAGCTTGGTGACCACTCTTCTATGGGAGCCCTGGAGGGGTAGTGTCCAGCAGCCTTGACTTGACAATGAGATGATGCTTCCATGGGCGATACAAGGAACAGGGAAGGTGGTGAGCCAGCAAGCATCAATGAAACAAGCCCCAGGCCCCTGGGGAGCAATGTTGAGCTGGGGATGGTACTGAGGAGCAGAGTCATGGAGGGCCTGGAAGTGGAGGGAGGCCAGGGAAGGGATGGGAGTCAGGGTTTCTGAGGATGAGGGATGGGGGGTGGGGTGCTAGAGCTGTGTCCTGGGGAGGAAGGAGCCCTGGACTGTAGTATTAGACAGGTGTCTGGGGTGCCTGGACGCCAGTTGTGGGGAGCCCCTCTCCCACTGCTCTGACTTCACTAAATCCTTGACCTGGGGTGGACAGAGAACTTAGCAGCCTCCCTGCCCCCTATTGAGCCCCTCCCCTACTATCCAAGAGCCCCTCCCTCCATCCCGGGCAGTTCTCATCGGCTCCTCCTTCCGTACCTGCTTCCAGCCCGGCTCCCGACTTCATTTCCGAACCTGTTTGGAAATAAAGCAAGCGTCCATAGCCAGGGCCTGGCTGGCCAGGGTAGGGTGGGACAGGGAATTGGTCACCTGGAGGGGTGAAAGGGGGATTCCCTCCTCTGTCATGTCTCTGGGGCCGACCCACAGATCCAGGTTCCCCCAGCTGAACTTGAGTTCATGCAGCCTGACTCCGGCCCTCCGGAACATGGGTAGGGACAGAGAAAAGTCAAACCTGGAGGAGAGGTTTTGGGGGTGGGTGAGAGTGTTAGAGGAGGGCACAGGGGTGAGGGCATCGAGGGGAAGACAAAGAGGGTAGGCAACAGGGTACCAGGGAGGTTTGGATGATGTGTGGATGGTATTATGCAAATTATATGCAAAGCGTTATGCAAAGCAACACCTATTAGGAAGAGGTGTTTGGAGACACTGAGACTTGTGATCCTAGGTGACTTACTGAGGCTTGAGGGGTCTGTTGGGGACCACTCGCTGGGCTTCCAACCTCTGATGCAGAGGCCCAGGCCTGCTGAACACCACCCCTGAGCCCCAGGGCTGGGCACTGGCTGGCAAAGGGAAGACCTGCAGCCCATTTCAAGACCCAACACGCTGCTGCTATGTGCCAAGGGAGCTTATCTGGCCCAGCTCTCATCTTTCTGGGACTCTCCATTTGGTAGTCTGAGCCAGAGAACTTTAAATGGAGACTGGAGTTCTAGTGTTTGTTCTGGGACAAGGACTTATTGTGGTGGCTAGGCTGGTCTTGAATGTGTGGGCTCAAGTGATTTTGCTACCTCAATGTACCGTGTAACTGAGAGTTCAGGCACACACCACCACGTGCAGCATGAGACCAAGCTCTTAGCTAAGACCAGGAGCTAAGCAATGGGTGTATGGGGTTCTAGAGATGGGGCATAGTGAAGTAAACTTACTTCATCTTTCCTCCTCCTCCTCCTCTTCTTCTTCCTCTCTCTCTCTCTCTCTCTCTCTCTCTCTCTCTCTCTCTCTCTCTCTCTCTCTCTCTCTCTCTCTCTCTCAAAATTTAGCAGCTCGGTGCTCCAGAATTGAATAGTGTCTCCTCTAGGGTACAGTGGTCCAGGTGTCTCCTGGGGATTGCAAGTGCTCTGAGCCCAGCCCCCACGCCCTCACATGGGCAGGGCTGCCCTTCAGCCTTAGCTTTGGCTCATCCTTGGGCAGAATGTGTGGAAGCCAGGGACTTTGGAAGCCGTTGGGTATTTATCACTGCCAGGAGCCCAGCTCACCCTGTGGTCACCCTTTCCTGAACAGCCTCAGAGGCCAACGCTCAGAGTAGTTTTTTTCCCTTGCTGGGGCCAATGCCCATTGCTGCAGAAGGTAGCTATGTGAGGCTGTGTGGCATTTAGGAAGAGCACTACGCCTCTCCTTGCTCCCTGGGCACCCTGGCAGTTCTCACCTTGTTCCTTGAGTCGGATGATCTCTGTGTCAGAGCCGAAGCTGTTCCAGGCTGTACAGTTGTAGATAGTTTGGAAGTCAGCACGCACAATGTTGCTAATGGTCAGCGTGGAGATGACGCCTTCCTCGGTGCTCACTGTCTCCACCGTGTAGCGCCCTGATGTCCCTGATTCCAGCACATTCTCCTTCCAGGACCAGGCCTGCCAGATTGTGCAGGGTTAGGAGAGTCCATATCGGGATGATGGTATCACCCCTCCAACATGCTGACACAGTTAGGCTCATGTCTACAGTCACTGCCACACACCACCAACCTAAACACACGTCCCAAATACAATCAGCCCATACAAACACATTATCATACAGGTACATAGACACCATATCAAACATATGAACAACATGTGTCTACACTAAGTGTGCACACACATACCTCACACCACAAGCACAGACACACGTGCACATTATAAAATACATATGAATGCTCAACACACACATACACATCAACATGTGCAAACATGGTATGTATATGCATTATTCCATATACCATGAAAATAAACACACATGTACAGTATATTGTACACATGCATGCATATAAGCACACACACCACAAACGCGTTTGTACGCAAGCACATGACACAAGCCAGGTATTCAAAGGAACTCGTATACTACATCACATCACAATGTACATGTGTGTATGTGCCACAGTATGCATAAATATACATCACACCATATAAACATATGCTACACCACATATACTCAACATACCATACTTACAAACATTCATGTTTATAAACACACATCAAAACCACATCTGCACATACGTATACCTCAAATACATATACATATGCACACACCATGGCACACAATAGCACATCAGATACTGAATTCCACCAGCATGTACACATAAACATACCAGAACACATTGTGTAATCATACCATAACACACACACACCAAGAACACATATTGATGCAAATGCACATATATACACACCTTTACACACGTGCATCACACACACATCACAGTATATAGCACGTCACGCACACACAATGCATGCACACATCTTTAGCTGACCATGTACATGCACACCCACCCAGGTTGAGGACATCTCAAGGGCATTCTATGTGATGCTTCACTGGGAGCACTCACTAGACGTGGCAGCCATGTAGTCCTCCACATGGCCACCTGTCTGGGATTCCCTAGTGCTGGGCCTTGGAGAGATGGTTCACAGTGACTTTACAAATTCTGGAAGGCAGGTGATTACCAGACTGCTCTCCACCTCTCGTTGTAACAAGGTGACCTTGAATTGCTTATTCCCCTGTTTTCTCTCCCACTGTTGAGATTACAGGTATGGGCCACCACGCCGTTTTTACAGGAGTATGTTTAGAATTGCATGTGCCATCATCTCCATCTCTTTATTTACAGGATGTCTTTGCATGAATTTTATCAAGTCAGCCATAAATGTAACCTTATTCCATGCTCAATGACAGAAGTGAGAGCCTGGCTTTTCTCTCTCTGGACCAGACCCTTCTTAGTGGGGGGCTCTTGGTGACACGCTTAATTCTGCTCACTAAGGCTAGCACCCCTCACCACTGTGGCGACCACAAGGGTCTCCAGACACTGCCCGATGCCTCTAGGGGAGCTAGTGAGAATCACTAGCCTAGAGATAAATAACTATAAAGAGAAGGATGGCATACCGACGCTCAGGAGTGACAAAAGGAGATCTACAATTGTTATGTGTTAGACTTAGAATCAAAAATCCTAAGGAGTGAATGGGAGGCGTAGGTAATAGTTACCATGTACAATTATTTGCAATTTTATATGACTCTTTGAGGCAGTAAATGAGCCAGATGCCTGAGACAATATTTAACAGCAATGCTCTTTAACAACGTCCTAGTTTATCAGACAGCATCTCTGGCACACCAAGGCTCTTATCTGAGCAGTGCCCATCTGCGTCACAGCCTTCCTGCACCATTGCACTGTGGAGCTGGCTTCTGGGCCGTCCTCTAGCAAGACCATCTCTGCTGGTTTGAATGAGAACTGCCCCCATAGGCTCCTATGTTTGAATACTTGATCTACATTAATGAAACTGTTTGGGAAGGATTAGAAAGGGGGATTTTGTTGGAAAAGGTGGGTCACTGGGGTGGGCTTTGAGGTTTCAAGAAGGCTAGTGTTAGTCCCAGTTGGTTGCCTGCCTCCTACTTGTATATCAAGACTTGGAGCGCTCAGCTGTTCCTGCCACTATGCCCTGCTCTGCCATTGTGAACTCCACCTCTCTGACCTGTAAGCCCAATTAAAAACTTTCCTATGCTACCAAGTTACCTTGGTCTTGGTGTTTTGTTACAGTGATATAAAGTAACTTAGACACCATCACTGGGCAGAGGCTTACTAAAACAACACTTTCCCCCAGAAGAGCTACAATAAGCTTCCCTTTTCTTCGTTTTCTTACTGGAACAGCTATCAGTTTCAGATAGACTGGAGTGTCCAATCTTCTATTTAAAAAGAGGGCTTAGTGGGTACGGCGCTTGCCACAGGGGCCCCGATGACTTGAGCTGGATCTCCAAAACCTACCTAAGTGTGAAAGAAGAGAGCTGACTCCACAAAGTTGCCCCTGATCTCCACTCATGCACTATGGCATTTACTCCACCTCCGGGTCCTACCCACACAATGATAAGAAATCAAACAACTTAAGTCTTTCTTAAATGCAAACACCACCCTGCAAATGCTGGTGAACTCCAGAGGCTGTCTGGTCTGCTTTAGGGGCTGAGGGGTTGAAGGAGGACAGGATAAAGCAGTGGCCATTTTAGAGGGACTGTTTGGATCGGGAAGGCACAGTGTATGCCCTGGACATTAGGACAGAAGAGTCTGAAGAGGATGATCCTGGGAGACGCAGGCATGGGTGGCTTGGAGGCCTGAGCACCCCCAAGCTTGCCTGTTCCGAGACAAGAGGCTGCCTTCCCCTTTTTTTTGTCTTCAGGGTGTGTTCTCTAGACACAGATATGTATCGTTTCCCACTACAGTGGGAAGGGAAGCTCCAGAGCCTGCACAGTTTGCAGGCTGCCCAGGCAGAGGTGACCCGTGGATACTGGGAGTAGGTACACCGCTGGTGCCCTCACCACCCTCCCTCCCTGGAACACTCACGATTCGGTCAGGCGGCGGTGTACTCCGGATGAAGCACTTGATCTGGCCTTTTTCACCATGGAGGGCATGCTGGGTCTGTGTGCTGGAGATGATGGGGGGTCCTGTTGGAAAGATGACATCATGTTAGGGAGGCAGGAAGGGCAAAGCCCCAGCTGGCACCCTCTTTGGTGGGTTCGGGAGTGTATTCACCAATCCAAACATTCAGCAAACATTTACAGAAGGCCTGTGCATGCAAGACAGAGTGCGGGGAAGGGGACCTGAAGATAAATTAGTCATAAACCTCTCCAGGGATCCTGAGTGAATGCTCCCAAGTCAGAATCCCCAGAAGGCATAAATAATAAAAGTTGGCGAGTGTTCATACCATAGGAGCGATGCAGATAAAGTACCAACTGGCTTCAGAGGAAAGAAAATGATTCTATCTGCAGATGGGGAATGTTTTGCAAAGGAGGTGGTGAGTTTGGGAAGGGAGTCGAGGCAAGCACCAGCTTGAGAGAGGACTGCAAGAGAAAGAATGTCATCTAGCCTTGCTTTGTTGTTGGGATTCAAGTCATTTCTCAGTTGTCCACCAGAGGGCACACTTGCCTAACAAACCGGGTTTCTTTGCTGTGTTGATAAGGGAAGAAAAGTGATGTTGTTCCTTCACCAAGGGCGGGAATTACCCTGCAAAGGGGAAGTGTACTAGCTGAGCTCGTAGACCTTAGTCCTATGTAGGTCTCAGAAGATCCTGTAGTTGATTGTCTTGTTTGTCTCCACATAACAGTTGGCCAGGCCAGGTAAAAAAAACAGCTCCAACAGACCCAGAATTATCCCATACAGTGTGTGTGTGTGTGTGTGTGTGTGTGTGTGTGAGAGAGAGAGAGAGAGAGAGAGACAGAGAGAGAGAGAGAGAGAGACAGAGAGAGAGAGAGACAGAGAGAGAGAGAGACAGAGAGAGATGGAGATACAGAGAGAGAGAGAGAGAGAGAGAGAGAGAGCGCACACTTCTGTGGTTCAGTCTCATTTATCCCATTGGGCAGCCAAGAAATGCCATCCAGAATGAAGCCTGTCTCAGGAAACTTCCAGTTAAGTGTCCCTTATCTGCAGGTGACTTCCTGGGCTGGGCTAGGCAGTTGGAAGATAAGGTTGGGGTTGAGGGTGGGGGTGAAAACCTTCTCCCACAATTTCCCAGTCCCTGAGGTGATGGTTGGGATTTAGACCGCAGAACAGAGGGAGAGATCTGGAGAACAGGCAAAATTATGCCGAGAACAAAACAAAAATTGCTGCAAACATAATTGCTGTTTATTAACCACCTTAATTAAAACAGATTTGCATTTCTATGAGTAGTTCTCAGCCAAGGGGGAAAGAGGTATTGGGAGAGATGGCTTCTGAGTTTAGAATGGAAACAACTCTATCTGGTGCACAGGATATAGGTGACTTCAAGGTACAAGGTTTTGCCCTCAGAAGACTTTAAAGATGAGCTGACTCTTGCTTTCCTCCAAGTTCCTTGGCTCTAAGAAGCCTTTGGCCCCAAGCCACAGCGGCCCTACATTCTGAGGACCCCGGGTAATGCTTTGCTTTGCAGCTGGGCTGAGAAGTGATGATACCATAAAATCTTTTCCTCTCATTTCCCAGGAACTAGGAATCCCCCAGGGGTTCGCAGGGCTCTAAAAGCTGTCAACAAATACATATGAGTTTATGGGCTTCTTAAAAGAAAACAAAAAAACTAGGGTAAAGGAAACAGGGCCCAGAGAGCCAGCTCAGGTTACAGCGGAGTCAATTCACGTCCCAAAGGCTGTCACTGGCCTGGCTGTCACTCACTGAAGGGGTTGGCAGAGCTGGAGATGGCTGTATTCTAGGCACCCAGGTTCCTATGTACCAGGGTCACCACCCCTCCACCTGTTGTTCAATTACAGGCAGATGGACAGTCCCACCCCTGTGCAGGTTCCTCCCTTAGAGTCATTTCCTCCAGACCCCAATCTCAGTGGGATTAGCAGAAAGTAAGCATGGGGCAGCTTCCTTCCTCCGGCTGATTCCTTAGCTGTGCTCCACCCAGCAACGTAGGGAAGATGTGCAGGCTGAGAGAATAAATGTTGGCTGGATGCCAGAGCCTGCCCTGGAATGTGGGTCCCTCCGAGATGTGTGTGTTTCCCAGGAGCAAAGGAAGAGTTCTTTCCCCCAAAAAAGTCTCTTTAAGTCCCCATTGAGAAATGCCTGGATGTCTTAGAGCAACAGTAAAAATGCCAGCCCCTCCGTACATACCCTTTCCCCAAGACACAAGGATGCTCAGTTAATAGCTCCAGGTTTGGGGATTCTGGTGGGAACGTGTGTCTGAGGGTCCTTAGCCTCCGGGTTACAGCTGACAACAGGCCTGGCAGCGTGGCTCCTCAGCGCCCTCCCCAGAGTGGGCAGTGGGGAGGGCGGCCGATTTCGCTGTGGCCTGGCTCACTGAGCCGAGTGTCAGACACGGCGCGGCAGGAAAAGGCTGCAGCCTGTGTTGCCATGGATATACGGAGGCGCGATCAGATGCTGTTATTTTTAGCCCTGCAGTGCCAATTTATTGGTGGCATCCTGGGGACACGCAGGAAAGGCAGGAGGGCTTGGGAGCCTGGGTTCTGCCTGGGGCAGCTGATGTGTGAGTGCTCTGGGCTCTGGGCAGATTGAGTAGACCCGGTCCATGCCTCTGCAGCCGGTGCCTCTCTCAGGAGAGGAGAAGAACGACTGGGCAGGAACTGAGCAATGGGGACAGTGGAGGGGTGCTGGGGAGGCATCCAGCTGGGCTTGTTTTTCCAGAAAAGGGGGAGAATAGATGGTTTTCCATGGGTGGTTTCCTAGGTGGAGATAAAGTCACTTCGGTTCGGTTCGTTTCCAGAACTTGGCTCAAACCCTGCTTTCGGATCAGGACCCTAAAGCCTCACACAAGGGCCTGTGACCTCTGACCTCTTTTTCTTGGCCAGGATAAAAATTTATCACCTAATCATTCCTCAGCTGGGATTCGTTTGAAGGTATTGGAAAGGAGGAGGTTGTCCACAAACTTACCAGCTTGCCTTTGCCTCCACGGACAGACAGAATGCTATATTAGGGGCAACAATGCCTAGAGTCAGTGACTACCCCTTTGGGGACAATGCCTGGTACCAAGATGCCTTAGCTCTTTCCCCTCCTTCCTGTTCCCCCCTCACATTGTGGTGTTTGCATAAGACCCTTACCATTGACAGTCAAGGTCACCTCTCTCTCCCCAGCTCCTACCCGGGGCACCACAGCCCGGCACACGTACTTCCCGGCATCCTCCTGGCGGACAGATTTGAGGGTCAGGGTCTTCTCATTGCTCAGGACCTAGGAGGAGGGGGAGGATCAGACACAAAGAGTAAGGGAAGGCTGCATCTGCCTGGGGTCGCTGGCTGACACAGAGGCCAGCATCTCTGTAAACACCAAGGTGACGTGCAGTTAGGAGGCAGACGGTACCACTTAGACTTTGGAGAGGAAACTCCCTCCCCCCAAACATGGACACCCCCTTCTTCCAGCTGCAGGCCTGTGAGTGTAATGCATGGTGGTACTAGGAGAATGAGACTCCCTAACCGAGGACCCTGGCTTTTTCATACCGAGAGATGGATGCTACTCTCCTGTGACCTCCCAGCTGCCCATGGGTAAAATTACCCTACAACTGAATGTGGAGGGTCCTTGAATCCAGGTTTTCAGAGTCATGCTTACTATCCCCATGGGAGACAGCTGGAGGCGATGCTATGACCGCATTCTTAGACACTAGCTATTCCTGGCTCCAGCCCTGGATGCCTCCATGGTATAGGTCAGTTACTATCTCAGAGGCTCATCCGTATAATGGGGGCAGTGACCCCACCTGGAACAGTGCTGCAACTCGGAGAACATAATAGGCTACCCAAAGGTTGGCTCCCTTTGCCGTCCCTAAAGGACTGTGCTAAGGCTAAGGGTAAATTTATCTAGGGTAAGTTTGGAAGATTTTCTACTGCCTGGGCAGAGTGTGTTCAGAGTGATATGGGTACAGGTAGGCCCTTGAACTCCTATTTCTCTTTCTGGGACCCCTTTGACTTATTATAGAGATTGACTCTCCCCAAAGTCTCCTGCTTGCTTCCCTATCTGCTCCCCCCCAGTTTCTGTCATAGAACCCAGAAGTCTGGCCTGAGGACTCACCACACCAGAACCTCGTTTCATCCACACGATGGTGAGAGATGGGTTGCCGATCCATGCGCAGCTGAAGACGGCATCTGAGCCTAGATCTACGAGCAGGGACTGCGGCTCTGAGGTCATCCGGGGACCAACTGCAATGGGGAGAGAAGAGGAGATGGGCTCAGGAGGGCTGGGAAGCTCTGGAGAGCCTTCTTCTCTCTTCTCCTTTTCACCCCCACCCCAACTGGAAGGAGGGAGGCACTGGGTTCGTCACCTCTGTTTCAAGTTTTTGACGCAGTATGGGAGCAGACTCCGGAAGTGAGGATGAGATCCCCCTTCTCCAGGCTCAACTTTTCTCAGGCCCACAGAGTAGGCAGTACCAGCCACAGGATGAATGCACTTGAGCCAATTTTTGCCTTGGTTTACCTCTCAACTCCTTCCATTTTGTCCCTGTCTTGTTTGGCTGCAGAAAGTGGGGGGAATCTCCTGCTTCAGAATCCTGGGCTTTGGGACCATGACTTGAAATGACTTGGCCTAACTGGAACCCTTCTAGAGTGTGTTCCATCATGTACTTTTTCAGGGTGTCTTCTATCCGAGACACCACAGACACCCTTCTTATCCTTCTAGAAGTAGACTAGCTCCTGGCCCCATTTCTGACACCTCTACTAAGTATGTGTGAGTCCTTCTCTGCCCTGTTACAGCACACTGGCCTATAGACCAAGCCTTGTTTCATACAGTGGCTAGGGTATTTGGAGAGCTGCCCAGGAAGGCCTTGGGGGCACTTCTTTGAAGGGATAAAGCCTGAATGCTAGAATTGGGAGATAGAGACTCGCTTCAAGATGTAACAGATAAGACAACACACCTGCTGAGTCTTTGTGGGACGAAAGAGTCGGGCCACGTCAAGTTTGTGAAAGTGCTTTTAAAACTAAAGGGCACATGTGAGCGGGCCACACGTGCTGTTGTGATGGCGGCTCAGGCTGGCCTCCAACTCGAGGCAGTCTTCCTGCCTTAGCCGTTTGAGGGCTTGGATCGCAGGCGTGTGCCACCACTCTGGTTTTTGTAACTGCTTCTGAATGCACCCCACTAACGAGGTTGCCTCATCTGTTGGGCCACTGGTGAGAAGAGGGGGCTACGGGTCCCCTTGGTGGGACGGTGGCGTGTGTGTGCACAGGTAATGGATTTGGCCATTGTTTGGTCTCAGTTAAGTCGTACGTCACCCTACGACTTAGTCACTATGTGCGCTTGAGTGTCCATCTCCCTCATTTTGAAAATAGGAATATTAAGATATACGCATGGACTGTATGTTTGTGTCTCCCTCAGAATTATATGGTGAAATCCTCAGGGTGGATTATTAGGAGGTAGAGATTGGGATACAAGGGTGCTCTAACAGTCATGCTGGCCTTCAATTCTTGCTGGTCAAGTCCCCCAGTCCATGGTGACTAGTCACTGCGCTCTGGGCTGCTGGGACAGTCAAAGATCTAAGTGGGAGTGGTAGCAGGGGAAGACGTAAGCACAAAATGTGGTACCCTAGGCTGTGGGTGATGAGTCTCAGTGAGACACCACCCACTGACAGGGTCTTCTGAGTCCCCACACTCACAGTAGACGTCCACCGTGCGGCTGAGATTGGTGCTGCCCAGGGCATTGGTCACTTCACAGGACACAGGCTCGGAGAAGTATGTGTAGTCCACGGTGGTCCTGTACAGCTCCCCAGATGCTTCTTTGATGATTTGACCCCGTTTGGCCCACCTGCAATGGAGGTCAGAGGTCGATGGGGGCATCCTTTGGGAAGCTAGACATATCTATCCTTCGAGGAAACAAGGAGGGGATGATCTTGTACCCACAACGTGGTTATGCAGTTGATTGGCTCTGAACCGTGGTCACCACACAGTCGGAGACACTTGACAAGTAAGTCACGCTGGAGGTGGCAGAGTTACCTGGCTGATCACTCCATGGTATCCAGGTCATTAGCTAATCCAGCTCTCGTGACCAGACAGCCTGGCCATACTCTATTCTGGTCCCTCTCCTGGATCTTGTAGGGAAAGGCAAGAGACTGAGGGCATGGCATCTGAGGTGAGGGCTAATGGTGCATGCCCTCTATATACACGTACATTACACACGTGAGTGTGTGCATCTCCCTATACACACAAGTTTGGTTTCCAGCAAGAAGATGTAGGACGGGGTTACTGAACCTCTGCATTATGCTCTTACTCACCTCTGACCCATCTCCTGCCCCTGTGCACATCCTTCATTGTGCCCGTCTTCTTGGAAATCTTTTCAGTCTCCCTTCTAGGGTAGGGACTTGATTTTACTGTTAACTCTGTCCTTCCACCCTGGCTTTGTTCCTTTGAGGCCACAGACCCATTAGCCCAGGTTGAGTGGGGATCAATGGGTAGAAAAATTCTCCCATGAGCTGATCAGTACCGTACTAAAAGGAAGAAACTGTGAAGTCTCAGGCTTCATGGTTGGTCTTAGTCCTGGAGTAGTGATCACCATATTAAAGAGGTCACAGATGACCATCATGTACATATGCATGTGTGTACACGTGCAAAAACACATATAATGTATGCACATAACGCTCATGAGGGTTTCCATGTGTGGTGTGCAAGTGTGAGTATATGCATGCATGCCTATATTTACATATGTGTACACGAGAATTTGTGTGCAAGTACATGTGTGTATAAATGTACATGAAGGAGTGTGTTTGCATGCAAGTTTGAATATGTGCATGTATATATGTGTGCATCTGTAAGCGTGAGAATGTGCGCGTGTGTGCACACAAAGGTTTGCCTGTGTGCACTTGTGAGTATGTGCTTGCGTGCTTGTGTAAATAAGGGAGTTTCATAAATATAAATGTGGATATGTGTTTTTGTGTCCATATAAGGGATTTACATGTGTGTAGGTATATGTGCATGCATATACACATATGCAGATGAGTGCAGGTAAGTAAATGTCTATGAATATTTAGATATGTGTATAGATGCGCATGTGAGAATATAAATGTGTGCAAGTGTGTGTGTGTGTGTCTATGTGCATGTGTTTGTGTATGTGAAGATTTGTATGTGTGCAGGTGTACATGCATGTGTGTATGTTTGCCTATGAGGGTTTACATGCGTGAGTATGAATGTATATGTGTGTGTGTGTGTTTGTGTAGATGTAGATTATAGATCCCTAAAGGGAAAGCATTTACAGCTTTTTGGTTTAAACTTATTGTACACAACATTCACTCTTTGAAAACACAAAACTTCTAACCAGGCCCCTGGGACTCTGCAGCCGGTCTTGGGATGTTTCCAGAGCTCCAGAGCCTCTGGGCTCCTCTGCTGTTGAATGTACTTGCCCCTCCTCGTGACCGCTGCTGCTCCTCTTCCCTTCCTTTCGCTGCTCCCGGCCCTTTCTTGGTGATACTGATCCTATCTCCTCCCTCTCTCCACTGGTTCTCGGCCCAATGTGTCCTGTCTAGCCCCTAGAGAGATGGCTACTTCTCCACATCCCAAGGAACACCTAGACTGGCGCCGTGTGGTTGTTATCGCAAATTAATATCGAGTAACTATTAAGAACACAATTAATAATAACAATTACAGTTTAACAACAGAGCAAACTATAGCTCCCTGAGAGCTTAAGGAGCTTCCCAGCAAACCATTATGAGTTATTCATGAGTCGTTTCAATTCCTAACTTTAATTTAATGACCAGACTTAATAGTCAGGCATGGCCCCTGCCTGAGGTGGATTAATTCCATTCCAGACACACAGCTGGGGATCAGTGTCCAGCCTCTACTCCTTCTACCCTGCTGGAGGGAGGGCTTCTAAGTGGTGGGGACTCTGGTGAGGAGCTGATTGCTGAGGGGGTGGAGTAAGGAGAGGCCCAGGTAAGCTTTCTATGCACTTGATACTCACAGCATATAGCTGGGGCTGGGCCTGTGTCTGTGCCCAGGGATATCGGTTCAGACAGGCAGGCTGTGTTTCTTTGGGGGACCCTGGAGAAAATGGAATCTTCTTCCCTCTCTTTCTGGGGGTGAGCTTAGGGAGGGTCACGCTCCCCAGGATCTGATTGTTGGAACTCCTGGGGTCCAATAGGCTTGGAACCCAGTACTCCAGGACCTGTGGCTGCACCTTGCATGCCAGGTGGGCATTTCTTTACACCCAAAGGAACCAGAGAGAAGGAGAAAGATTAGGAAAGGCTGGTCATGGGAAGTTTTCTACTTTAGGTGAAATCTGAGTCGAGTCTCCAAAGGAAAGACGACAGGAAGGATGGTCTGAATCTCCTGTTTCAGGGTCATGGTAGAAGGAGGGAGTTGTCTATAGGACTGGATTTCAGGAGGCTGAACCTTGGGCTTTTTTTGGAAGGGGACCCCCTCCAAACTCACTAAGGGATCTCTTATCTTGACTATCCAGTCTTCCTTCCCCTCTCTTACTCCCTTCGTACATCAAACAGCCCCCTGTAAGCCCTTCCAGAAGCACTCAGCCTGAGAATATCTCATTCCAGTACTGGACCTCAGGGTTCCAGAATCGAAGAGCAGTTTCCTTCCTAACCCACATATCCCCTCATAGTCTGTGGCTCGGCCCCCTCTGCCTGGTTCCCACCACTGCATCTTCACATTCTCCCCCAGGCCCTTGCCGGACTGCTTTAGCTTAAGCCTTTTCAATCAATGTCTAATTTGGTCTGAACAAATGTAAGAGGATTAATTATTTATATCACAGAATCAAGAGGCCCAACATGTCACATCTGCAGGCGGGTGTGTCAAACAGCCCTGTATGCTTTATCTTGTATTGTGTTCTGTTATCCCGTATCTGCTGGAGACTTCCAGTGGATAAAGTCCAGAGCACCTCTTGTGTATAAGCCTGGTTTACTAACCCAGGCTCTGAGTCCCTGCGGACAGTGAAGAGGCAACGCCCATGCTCAGTCAGGGCCATCTCAGGGTAGGGTTGAGAGAGGGAACATGTTTAATTTCAGAGATTACAGCCTCTTAGGAGGATGGGGGGCGGGAGGGGAAACAATCAAGATGAACGAATGGAAGAAGCAAAGATTCCTATAATCTTGTCAACGTCATTTGGGGACAAAATATTAATGTACTTCTGTTATAGACTTGCTTAGGGCATTTCCTCCTGGGTACAAGTGCCACATGAAAACGGAAGTGGGGTGCTGGCAAGACTTTGGTGGAGGGAAGGGGCGAAACAGGGGCTCCAAACCTCTTCTTGCCTCAACAGACCAGGCCAACCATTCTAGCTTTCCCACCACTTCCCGGGAGCCAGAAGGGCTCCCAAGGTCTTCTGAGTCTTAGAGCAAGCCAGAGCTGGTACTGCTACACTTTTAGAACCAGCAGTTAATCAGAAGGTCCTAAGAATTAGTAGCAAACAAGAACAGTGGTCATGTGCAGGGAGCCTAGCCACTCTGTGTCTCTTCTAACACCAGGAGCTCATGTGGGATTCAAATACGCTTCAGGGTAGGATAGGAAAGGAGGGAAGGAGTCCCACAGGACACACTGGTCCAGGGAAATTGCATGTTCTCTCTGTGTTCATTTACTAACTTGTTAGCTTGAAGAAACTCCAGTTTCGGATTGAAAGAAGAGTTTTAATATTCTCACTAGCTGTCATCTTTCATCACCTAGATTTGCTAGTTGTTCACGTTGGATCACGTGTTTCAAAATGACCTCCGGTGTAGGCTCACACTTTCTCCTTGTCCTTGCTGTTCTGTGTCCTTGAGATGGGTGATCAGGGGAGTCATCCCTAGCAGCTGGGTGCCCTACTGAGGTCAGATGGCAGGTGGAGGGCATGCTGCCATGCTTGTTCCACAGATCACTGGGCCCTCGGGTCACAGGGAGTCTGGCAGTGACATGGAAATGGGGGGTCGAGTGTTTCAGTCTCTAGGGCCCCATAGGCATCTGGGGGATTGCTGTGATGGTCAGTGGACGGGCTGTCTGCCTGTCTGGTGGGGGATGCTTATGGATGAGAAGGGAACTGGCATTTGAAGTGTCTCCTGGGTACAGGATACCTGTCTAGGGACCTTGAGCTGAGAGCTAGGGGCAGACAGGAGAGAAGCACAGAGATGGCAGGTGCAGTTAGAAGCCCAGAGACAGGAACCATTTTTAGTTCCTTCTGCATATTCTGTCACTTCTGGCCAGTGCCAGATCCAGGCCAAACCAGTCTCTGGGACAGAGTGGATCCCAGGATTCCTGGGAGTGGGAGGTTCTTCACCTTTGTGGTGGGCATCAGAGGCTGTCTGATCTTCTTGCTTCCAGTGCAGCAAGGGTTAACTCAGGAGGGATGGATAGAGAGACTGTGGGCCTCCCTGACTTTTGGCCCCACTGCTGCTCTATTATCCACACCACAGGGAGCCAGAGCAGTTCACTATGTCCACCCTGAGCCTGCTATGGCATCTTCTGTGGTCCATTGCCCTTTCTTCCACCTGCTGGGACCGCTCGGCCTCGTGCTTCATGTCTTCCCTCTCCTCCACATCCCTAGTCATTGCTTTCCTAGTCTGGGACCATTAGCATTCGTGCCACTTGCAGAAGTGGCAGCTTAATAGCTCGTATCCATAGTGGAGGTGATGCCCTGGGCTCTGCCATCAAGCCTGGGCTGCTGGGAAGTGAGGGTCATTGGAAGTTCTGCAAAACATCTAAAGGAGCGAGCATCCTGTGAGGCCGCTTAGTTTCTGGAATGCTGTGTGGTGATATGCACAGACAGAAAGCTGCCCAGAGCGGCAGCTCCGAAGGCGTATTTGATCCATCAGATGCATGGAAGGAATGCCTAGTGTATGCCATGCGATACACTGCATGCTGAGAGCCGTAAGTGACTAAATTGCAGTTCCTGCCTCTGAGAAACTTGGTCAGAAGGCGGAGACAAACATGGGAGAAACAGTGATGCCTTTATTAGTGTTGTGGATGAGGATGCTGGGCGGGGTGGTGGCTCTGCAGGATCCCAGGTGCCCTTTGAGCTCTGGCCAGGTATCCAGTGCTAAGTACACTAACTTACCCATTCTGCTAGTGGTTTCAACACTTATCTGAGCCTTGCTCTGTAATTTCAGAAGTATGGAATAAATAAGTCATTGAAACAGGAGAGGCACCCGTGGTTTCCTGGCAGAGGGAGTGCAGGGGAGCTTGAAGAAAACAGAGGGTCTGCTTGGCTCGCGGGTGGGGCTGGAGTGGGGGAGGGGTGGAGAAGTCTGTTTGGACACCTGCTGCGAAGCACATCCTGTGGACACGTGTGATATGCCATGTGTCAGGCACGGGGTGGAGAAGCCTTAGACCAAGCTGTCTTCACAGCAGCGAAGCTCACCTGTACTGGGTGACAGCTGGGTTGGCCTTTGCAGAGCAGTGGAACGTGACGATGTTGTCCTCCAGCACCGGCTGTGGTTCTACCGACAAGTTGACAAGTGGGGGATCTGCAGGCAGAAGAGAGTCGCATACAGACTGGGGACGGACTGGGCAGGAAGGCATGGAAGGTCAAAGCCAGAGTTCCTCCCACCCAGGAACCATCACGATGGGTCCCCGGAGTCTGGGAGTGACTGCTTCAGGTAGCCCTGGGTGCTGGGTGCAGTCTCTCTGTGACTCAAGGTTTGAAGGGAAGTGAACATACGTCTCTGGCGCACCGATTTCCCAGGCCCCAGGTGTGTGCAGCCTAGCTTCCAATCCAGTCCACTCGAGGGGAGTGGTGGGAAGGAACACTCAGCCCTCAGGACAAGCTTTCTGTCTGTGAAATGTCTGTTTATTATCTCCACGTAAAGGTTGTGGGGCTCCAGGTAACTTGAAAGTGGCATCTACACCCTTTCATCATGCAATCATCTCTGCTGAGTCCTGGCTGGTGTCACCAGGCCCTCAGCATCCTGTGCGGGGGTCACTCGTTTTCTCCTCTGACAAGATAGGAAGCCACACTCTGAAGTGCTAAGGGATCTGAGGTGGAAAAGACAGAAACTGGGAGATGGGGAGCCACAGAAAGAGCACGCGGAAGGGTTTGGGGTGGGCATGGCAAAGCGTATAACATAGAGGACAGATGTGAGGACCACAGGGAGAGACAGAGAACCCAGAGGGACAGAGACAGATGCAGACATGAGGAAGGGAGAGAGAGAGAGAGAGAGAGAGAGAGAGAGAGAGAGAGAGAGAGAGAAGCAGGCAGAGACATGGAAAGGCATGCCAAATATGCCCACTGAGGATTGCAGAAGGGTAAGAAGAGGAGATACCTAGAGGTGGGGGTAGGAGAGGGATAAAGAGTGAGATGGAGCTGTGCACAGACACACACCCAGACAAGATGCTAAAAGGAAAGCAGGACAGCCAGGGAGCCTAGCACACAGGAAATGATAGGGCACTACACTGGGGAGAAAGAGAACACAAAACACTGAAGACCGCAGGAAAAGGGATGGGAGGGAGACAGAGAGAAAGAGAGAGAGAGAGAGAGGGAGAGAGAGAGAACAGATAGAGAGACAGAAGACAGACAGATACACACAGACACACAAGCAGACACACGGACATACAGAGAGTTACACACACATGTACACAAGACAGACAGACAGGCAGATATTAGATAGATAGATAGATAGATAGATAGATAGATAGATAGATACACACAGACACACAGAGAGACAGATACAGACAGACAGAGAGAGAAACAGATACATAGACACACACAGAGGAAGAGTACATAGACACACACAGAGAAAGAGAGTATCTACTCTGGTACAGGAGCAGCTGGTCTGTGTACCTTTTTATCTGAACATCATGGTAGTATAACATGGAACTTAAGCCTCCTTCCATCCCCAGGGTCACAGGTTAATGACTTGGTCTTCAGAGACGTGTTATTGAGGGGGATTGGGAGCTTTGGGGGGCGGAGGCAGTGGGAAGTCTAGGAGAGGTCTTGTGGGATCCTAGTCTCCTCCTTTCCCCTTGTTCCCTGGCCCTCAGGTGAGTGCTTCTGCTAGAGCACACACTCCGTCCAGGATGTGCTCTCTTCACCCACCCACCCCCATCCAAAGCAATGGGGCTCTGATTATGGAGTGGCTCATCCCAAATTGTGAACTGAAGTGAACTTCTTTTTTACCCCTTTACTGTCGTCTCATGTGTTTGCTATAATGGTGGGAAGCTGAATAATGCAGTTAGCTATTTCATCCACCTCAATTTTGATTTTCAAAGCGAGATTCAAGGGCTTGCTGTGGCAAGGGACCACCATGAGGTCTCTCTTTCCACTTCTTAGGGTTATTGCACTTCCCCATGCAATTCCTGTAGCATCTTCCCAGTGGTTTCCCAGTGACTTCCGAGGTAAGGCTGACTCAGGAATCCCATGGTCCTATGCAGAGCGGGCAGGCCAACTGACCATGCCTCCTGGTAAAAAAGTTTGGCCAGAGGAGTTTCCTGGCTGCTGTCAGGACTCCTGAGCATTGCTAGCCTCCCATTATGAAATCCAGTCTTGGTGGGCGATAGGTGATCTCAGTCTAACTCTTGTTTGAGATGGTGGTGTCTATTCAAAAATCTCTAGAAACCCTTCACGGAGCTCAGGGGTAACCTTCCAAAGGCTCATCCTTCACCTAGTGTCCTTTACAAAGTGATGATCCCTTGGGAAGCGAGAAGATGGAGCGTGTACCTACTGGAGGACTCTTCTCGGGTCCTCACTTGCTGGACGCTCAGTTACACCCTGTTATCAGTTCACTCTGTAGATGCCTCTTCTGCTTCTTCCCTCACTCTTTGCAGCACCCTCGGTCCCTAAGGCCTCGGGAGAAAAGACCCAGGAGGTTCTACTCAGTTTCACTTCCATCTCTACCCCTAGATCCAGGGATACCATGTCCCTGTTTCCACCCCTCTCCTCGGGATGGGCATGACATGCATTTCTAGGAGTCTGCCAAATTTCAGAGGTATAAATAGTTTATGTCATATCCAACTATTAAACATGATTTTAATCCCACTGGAGATGTCAGATGCATAACTTGCAGGAGGGTGGAACTGAGATCACACTGAACAGATGTTACAGCTGAGTGTCTGTTAGTGTTTCCATCAGCAACCTGCGTGTGTGTGTGTGCGTGTGTGTACATGCACATGTGTATTTTCAGAGAAAGTGTGGGGGAGCAGAGAGAAACTTCATGACTCAGTGATTTTAGAGCACATCGTTTGAAACTTGGCAGCTGGACAGAGTCCAGATGTGGTGAGGCTTTGGGGGTGTTGCGTTTTCTCTCCCATTACTCAATCTGGGGGCTTTGTCTTCCGTTGGGTAACATATAAAGACCAAGGGAAACAAACAACAAATGCGCTTTTGCTGAGTTTGGAGACTTCGTGGTTGACTGAGAAAATGAGCAGGTTTGCAAAGGCGGCTCAGATCCAGCCTGTGGTGTCCACTGCAAACAGTGGGATGCTCACTGAATGAGTAAGTGGATCTGAGGAGAAGGAAGGGGAGGCGGAAGAGGAGGAAGGAGGCATGGAGAAGGGCTGGGTTTTTTCTTGTTAGGTATATATAAACACCTCCCAGCTAGGGTCAAATGGATGGGTCTGATGACATCTGGGAAAGGCCCACCAAACACCTGTCACTGTGGATTTCAACCACAGCCTGTACTTTAATCAGAATGTGCTGCATTCGGGGCTAGCGGTTGCATGAATGATGTCATTGAACTGTGACCTTAAGAGGCAGGCAGATATAATCCTCTTCATGCATTGATAAAGAAACCAAGGCCCAAACCAATTCACTAATGAGGCCAATCAGTACTGGCAAAGCCTGAACTCAAACCAGGGAGAATATTGGACCCCAATTGCTGTTCTGTACTACACTGGCAGGATCCCAGCCAGGAAGCCTGATGCCTGGGTCTTAGCCTCACGCTGGCCTCATTCCTGCATCATTTCAGGTACAACCCTGTTATCCAGGTAGCCAGGCCAGCCAGCCCTCTGTCTGGAGTGCGTATGGAGAAAGGATGTATTTAAATTTACATGAGATGCTATTATGATGACTTTTTTTTTTTGAGACAAAGTTTTTCTGTGTAACCCTGGCTGCTCTGGAACTCACTTTGTAGGCCAGACTGGTCTCAGACTCAGAAATCCACCTGCCGCTGCCTCCCAAGTGCTAGAATTAAAGGTGTGCACCACCATCTACTAGCCTATGATGACAGCCTTGACACTAGCTTCTCATGGGGCAGTGGACAGTGGTCTGGAGTAGAAATGTTGCTTCTCCTTGCTTCTGTCTAGGGGAGCCAATTGTGTTTACATGGGACACTGTAGCTGGCATAGCCTTCTGCCTGGGTGCGGCTATGGAACAGGACAGGAAGGCCACAATGTCACAAATGGCAGGCAGGAAGCAAGGGACTTAGACACTCACTGTCTCCCACCCTCACTTCCCCCAGATTTGGTTTGTGTGTGTGAGAGAGAGCTCTCAGCTTTGATTGCTCCTAGAATAGGAAGAGACCTTGGATGGCATCAGCAAATCAGACAAGAAACTGGAATTATCAGAGTGAAGTGACAAGTTTAGGGCCACCTAGCTCATGGTGATGGATCTGGTCTGGATGCTGGCCCACATGCTGAGCCAGTTCTATGGCGACAGATCTGGTTTGGATGCTGGATCACATGCTGAGCTAGTCCATGGTGACAGATCCTTCTGGATGCTGGACCACATGCCAAGCTAGCGTCTTACCTTTTTTCTAGAGCTGGGCTTTGCTCTAGCCACAGCTGTTTACCTGTTGGCTGGGTGGTGCTAAGACCCAGGGTGGGATCAGGGCCAGGGGGCAAGGAGCATTGCCTTAGGTCTTTCTCTCCTGCTTCTTTGATCTCCCTAGCCCTGGGCTTGGTAAGAACTCTCTGCTCTCACTGTCTCTGAGTGCAGAAGGGTGGGGATGGGGGTTTGTTCATAGAAAATAGTGGAAAGTAGAGCCTTCTCCAGACCACTGCTGTTTTGGTGGGATGTTCGGACCCTACCCAATACTTAACAAATATCTCTTCTTCCCACTGTACTTTAAAGGTTGTCACTTAGGATTTGTGTCACCAAGAGGGAACTTCTGCCCTCTGGCTGTGAAAGCAGACTCTGAGAGCCCTAAGACACAGTTCCTATGGACCCCATAACTCTAGAGAGCAGAGCACATGGAAGCCCAAAATTCGTCAAGGCTGTGAGAAAGCGTTTTTAAATCCACCATCTTTAGGGGACTGGAGAGACTGGAGAAACCACTTGCTGTACCATCATGAGGATGAACTTCTGGATCCTAGCACCACATAGCAGGTGGGCATCCCACATCCATGTTTAACCCCAGCTTCAAGGGGGACAGAGAACTGAGGATGGTTGGAGCTAATACGCTCCATTAGGCTGCCATAGGAAACATAAGACCCAGACTCAGGGAGAGAAGTTGCCTCAAAGGAATAGGCCACGTTGGTAGAGAAGAACCCCCACTGCTTTCTTCTGGCCTCTGTGCACCTGCATACACACACACGCACACACACACATTCACACACACACACACACACACACACACACAAGCGTGCACACACACACACACACACACACACACACACACACACACACACACACATGGTGTGGCTCCAACCCCGAGCCTGGCCGGGCTGGACAGAGTCTGTCGGTACTCACGCTGGATGTCTATGGTGACTGAGGTCTCCTTTCCTCCAGGGATGGCTTTGTTGGTGGCTCGACACACAATACTCTGCCCATTTTCTACATCTCCCGGGGAGATGAAGAGGGTGCTGACAATGCTCTCACGTTTGCCATCGCGAAGCAGAGTCTGGGGAGAGAGGTGGTGAAGGAATAGAAGGTCTCGTGTTACTGAACTGAGATGGCCCAGGAGGGAAAGACAGACCTCTGGTCAGAGAACAGAGAGCTGTCGATGGTGAGTGTCGGTAGGAACTCCTGGGGGAGTTCCCTTACAGTCTTGACCTGGTTGAATGCTGGATGGTGGAAGAAAAAAAGGAACTAGAGAGATTGCCATGCTGTGTGAAAAACAGCCCATACTTGCAAGCCAAAAGCTCAGCAGAAACCAGGCTTAGCTGACTGGAAGCCAGACCTTGGGTAGGTAGCTGCTCCTTAGAACTTAACTGGTTTCTGTGTTCTATCCCTGATGTTGGCGACTCTGGATCCATAGCAAGCAAGGGGAGGGGTTGCAGTAGACAGAGAGAAGGAGTTAAGAGCAGGCTCAGGTAGGACATCCGCAGTCTGTGCGCACTACCTGCCTTTGATTATTTCCCCATGTAAGCCTTGTACCTTCCCAAATCATTGCACTTCCTCATCTCATTAAATCTCCTCCACACCACAGCAGAGACGATGCCAGCGCTTTCCATCTGACAAGGCGGACACAGGCAAGGCTCATCCAGGCAGCAAAACTACCAAACTCCTGCTCAAGTGGTAGTGGTGGAAGGAGTACTGGGGTTCTGCAGTGGGTGGACCTTGCCCTCTGACATTTGTGTCTGCCCCCGTTGTAGGAGGGGGATTCATTTGCTGATTAGTCCGTTAAGGGATTTGAGATGAGACCATCCTGGGTACAGGAAAAGACACAACGTAGGCAGCCTTTGTTAGGATGAAGACAGAGGATAGGATGCTCCTTCTGCAAACCAAGGAATGCTGGGAGCTACCAGGAGAGACCAGGGAGGCCTCTGCACCCCTGAAGTAGCACAGCCTGGTTGGCAGCTTGGCTTCAGACTTGTTGGCCTCGACAGCCTCATCAGTGCAGTGAGCACCTAGTGTGGTGCCGTGCCATGGCGGCACCAAGACGTGCGCATAAGCCATGGGTCTTTGCTCTCTCTTCTTGGAGCCTAGTGCTATCCCGTACCTGGTTCCTCCCCTATGGCTGCCACCCCCTTCACTCCTCTGTCCCTCTTTCCAGAGACTTCCCCATCACTTTGGAACCCATTAAGATAGGCAGGCACACAGAGGGACAACGAATGAAGGCGGAGTGGCCAAGGTGGGTGGCACTGGAGTCTGTTCAGACTTAAAGATGTCCCCTCTAGGAAGGAACTTTACATCCTACAGGGAAGGCTGCAACCTTGTTTTACCTGGATGGGAGCCAAGGAATATGTGACTCTACTTACTAAACAGCTCTCCTAAAACAACAATGGCTTTTTTTTTTCTCATTGTCAGATTTGTTGCAAGGAAGAAACATCATCTGTATTTTGCAAGTCACTGCTGAGTTCAAAGTGAACTGCTGGGCAGAACAGGGACTCACACTTAAGAGTAGGTACCCTGAGGATGGACTCTGGTATTCCTGACCTGGGCCTTACAGCTGGCAACACAGGGATCGAGTCCCACAAAGGCCAGTGACTGAGCAAGTTGACAGCAGCTCACGGGCTGCGGTCCTCTTCTATGTCCTCAGCTCAGCGTGGCCCTTCTTAACGTGGGGCCAAGCTTGTGGCCTCTGGGATGTGTAGAGCCTGGTGTGAGCCTCTGGGTAAGTGATTTCTACTGTAGGTCAAGCCAGTCTATAGCAGAAGAACAGAAGAGCGGCCTCGCACTTTCTCCTGTAATTTTTACAGCTGGCCAGATGTAGGCTCTGGGGCTTGAAACCTTCTAGTACTTTCTGTCCTGGCAGGAGGGGTGTTGGTCTTAACCATGTGCAGAGGGGCTAGTGAGAGGGGTGTGGCCTGATCCAGGGGTCCAAGGGCCAGTCTTAGTAGCCCATGGTCTGCAGGTCAGCTTCTGGGCCAGAGGCACAACTGGCAGTCCCAGAACAGGGTTAGATGGGGGTGTATTTTAGCCCCAATCCAAAGCCAGTGTGAGCAGGGAGCTACAGCCTGCGCCCTATTACCACATTGGCTTGGGGCTGCTCAGCAGACCTCGTCACCTCTATAAATAGCTAAGCGATAATAAGAACAATTTCCTGGATGAAAATAAGACCTCCGGGTAGAATGGCGGGAGGAGGGGAGGGAAGGGGAGGAGACAGGGTGTGTATAGTTCCTCTATATCCCTTCCTTTTCTGAGGTGCTAACGAGGGACATTTACATAAGTTTGACTGAGCCAAGCACCACTCCAAGGGCTGGGCCCAGGGCTTGGTGGTGGGAGTGGGGCTCTGAGAGTGGGGGTGGGAGAGAGCAGGGAGGCCTAGCTCTAATTAGGCCTTCTGACTGCTTTTCTTCCTCCCTAGCCCAGCGTGTTCCTCCGCCTCGGAATGATGATTAATGACATATTTACTGTGTCCAGGCGGGTGCTTTTCTGGGAAATAAAAATTCTGGTTCAAGTTGTTTGTTCCACCTAATTAGAGAAAAAAAGGAAGATGTGTTCATTAAACAAAAAGGAAAATGAGGGGAAGGCGAGTGTCCCAGTAGCAAACCACGGCGTAGAAGGCCGGCTCCGTACCCGGCCTTGGCCCTCAGTTCTCGAAAGAGCTCAGGGCCTGGGCTGCAGCCCCGCGGAGAAGGGCTGTGTCTGTCGGCCCCTCAGACAGATCTGCTGACACAGCTGTGGAATGACTATGGGGAGGGAAGCCAGAGACTCCAAGCCCAGAGGGGTGTGAGGTGGCCATGAGTGTACTTTGCTAGCTCCGTGGGGGAGCCGTTCTTGGCAGAGCCCCTTTCTATGGCCTTTCCCTTTGCACTGTACCCTAAATCCCAAAGAATAATGCACCCAAATGATTACAATGTTTCTTTAGCCTGATGGAACCCAGAACGTCTGGTGATCTTTGGATGTCCCCAGAATGGGCGCGGGTGACATATTCCTATTCTGGTCCTGGGCATCAGCTCTGGTAGAGTGAGTAAAAAATGGCTGTGAGGTTTACATGGTAGGAAACCAAGATGTATGTCTACAGATCCAGGATGCCCATGCTGCCTTCAGGAGCAGAACCCTCAGAGCATAGCGGCTTTGCCTATTGTCCCATTGTGTTTCCTTTCCGTCTCTAAAAAGGCCTTTCATGTACCCGTGCTTCTTACGATGACATTGTGAAGATAACAGCCCCCTCATCTTTTCAGGGCTGACCCTTGATTAAGTGTGACTTCCTTCCCATGGGCGATCTTGAGTTTTGTGTTTGAATGGGGAGAAGTAGACAGATGCGTGCATCCAAGTCCCCCTTGCCCATGGTTCCCCTTCCCCTTCCCGCATTCCCTTTTGAACTTCTTCCTTCTTTTATCTTTTGCTTTGTTCTTCCTTTGTGAGTCTTCTCTATCACCTTTCTTATAGGCAAATGAGGTCTTGAGACTTGGTGGACTTGAAGGTGTCAGCCAAGTGGGATTGTCTACCATTTGCTGATTTTTATCAGAGACCGGTTTCCTCTGTGCCCCTCACTTCTCTCCCCTCCTCTTCTCCTCAGGGAGTCTGGCTCTGGGGTCACACCTCAGGCACCGAGGCTTCCACTAGTGTGCAAATCAGCTCTGGGGTTGGAGCTGGGGAAGGATTATACAGGGTCTCTAGTTTCTTGACTCACCATTGGAGAGTGGTGGGCACTAATGTGGCATCAGACTCTGAACCCAGGCTTATTGACGAGACTTTGATGATAAACCCTGAGCATCTACAGCGATGTTGGCATACCAACCGATAGGGGCCAGGACCGGGCATATATACAACATATAGGCATTGTGAACTGAATTCCTGAAAGTCAGCCGTGTCTGCAGAGACTGACTGCATTTCAGTATGGTGGAGAGATTCTAGCCTAATCCTCCGGAACAGCCACTCTGTGTCAGAGCTAATATCCTGGGACTAACAGATAAACTTTTCAGAATCTGTTAACTTAGCAGACCACCAGTTTCCAACCCAAAAGCTCAGATAACATCTTGGGCCTAGAGAGAAGTATACCCATCTTACTGTGCCTACCTCTCTGATGCACCCACCAAAGAAATCTGCCTTCATTTTAAACTTGCCTTTATTGGTGACTGTCTTTATTCTGTTGAAACTATAAAAACTTCATGAAACTGATTTCATGTTGGAATCAAAAATCTGGGGTAACCAAAATCAGTGTCCCTGGCCCATGGTTGTTCGAAATGGCTCCAAAATAAACCATCCCTTAGTCCCTTTAAAGTGAAAGCTGTGGATCTTTCATAGACAGCATTGTGTGGCTGGGAATGACTGCTTTGGAGCATGGTTCTCCGAGAGTGGATTTCCACCTCTCTCCTGTGTGTGTGTGCCCACCTCTGTTTGTGGGCCTTCACAGGCTTCTGCCCAGTAACTGCACCTAAGGAACTCTCTCACGGGCTTCACTGAGGATGCAAGGTTCCCAGTGCCCATCTGAAGAGAACTGGCTCCGGTGCAAGCTTCCTGTTTGTGCCCACAACCTCACTGTTATAGTCCTGAGGTCACTGAATTGGCATCTGGATTCTCAGCACTGGCCTGAGAGGCTGGACTCTGGGGGCCGGGAACACTCTTGGGGCAGTTGCTTGGTGTAGGTGGTAGATCCTTCCGACCCTCTCAGGACCTCTGGTGAGAGGTAGAAAGCTGGGCTGAGCCCTCAGAGATGGGCAGCCTGAAGGCAATGCAGTGTGTGGGTGCCCCAACTCTGGCGCTAAATATGGGCTGCTCATTGATATGCAAACAGCCTGGAGAGCCTTGAGCAGGCCTGATTGCCTGGCAACAAGGCCTTCTCTCTTTTCCCTCCCCACTCACCTCCCCCACCTGCTGTGTCTTTTGTTTTTTTTTTTTAAATAATTTCTCTGTTTCCCCTTTTATAGACACTCGAGGGTCCATATAGGCCTGTTGTTATCTAGACTGAATAGGAGTTACATATATAATGTAGGTCTGCACAGTGTCATTTGCCTGAGACCCTGCATATAACCTCTGCCCTAGAGCTAGAAAAGATGCTTTCATTGAAAAGGTGAGTAGAGGTGGTTATCACATGACATAGAATAGGGTAGAGACTCTGGGCTTCCAAATTTGACGGACTGAACACAGTGTGGTGGGGTGACTGGAGGAGACACTGTGTAGCAGGGAGAGTGAGGGCCTGGGGATGTGAGCCAGCATCCTTTTCTGAGCAAACTCTTTGGAGCTCCTCTTAGCCCAGGCCCAGTAGATACCGGGGGGGGGGGGGGGGGCAGGTTGACGACCCCTGGAGTAGGCAGGTAGCCTGAGAGTGGATGTCTGTATCTCCTAAGACAACAGCATTTTCTCTGTGGCCCCTAGCAGGTCAGAGCCTCATCACCCTCCCTGGAGATGTAGCAGAAGTGGGAAGAGAGCGCCCAGGAAAGGTTTCCCTTCCAGCTAAGGCCATACTCATCTTCCATTTCTATCACCTGTTCCTTCCTCCCAGGGTTTGCAGATTGGCTGGCATTTCATATGCGTGCCCTGTGACATCCATTTTTGTATCAGGCCCAGAGAAGCAGGAGGAACAAGGGAGAATCCCAGCTGTCCCCAGATTCCCTAGACAGTGTGTCCGTGAAGTGACAGGGAGAGAGGCAGCCCTCTCCCTCCCTCCTCTTCTTTCAGCAGATCTGGCAGGCAGCGAGTGTAGTTGCAGCACAGTCAAGCGACTCACACTAGCACTGGACCACAGGGACAAGCTCTGCGGTGCGTGCTAGGTAGACAGAGCACAACATGAGCAGCCTCACGCTCCAGCGTGTGCCTTCCCCACAGGTATACCCTCCCCTACAGTTCACTACCATAAGTAGGGAACGCTACCCTCAAACTTGGAGGCAGAATAAACCTTCTTTCTTTAAGTTGTTTTTGTCAGGCATTTTGTCGCAACAATGAGAAAAATCGCTAATGCAGAGTCCTTCCTCTCTTCCATCCTCCTTACAAGGAACTTTGAAAGAATTACATTTGCTGGACATGGTGGTGTACACCTTGAATCCTAGCACTGGGAAGGCAGAGGCAAGCGGATCTCTCTAAGTTCAAGACCAGTTTGGTCTGGAAGGTAAGCGTCAGGCTGGTCACGGCTATGTAGTGAGACCCTGTCTCCGAACAAAACAAAGTAAGCAATTTACACTCATGTGTTTGTTTGTGTATTATGTATACGTGCACACATGCCATACTGTGCACGTGGAGGTCAGAGGACGACTTGTGGGTAATCGTTCTCTTCTTTTACCGTGTGGGTCCTTGAGTAGTTAGGCTTGACAGCAAATGCTTTTGCCTGCCGAGCAGTCTCGCCAGCCCTATAAGGAACTTTGGTATGTTTCTTTTGAGTCCTACAATAACCCTAACAAGTAGTCCCATTTTGCAGCTGGGGAAACTGATGTGGAGCAATTAAGGCAACATTATGGCATGATGGGAGCCCAGCCTGCAGGACTCTGTGGCCTGCCGTTTGGACACTGCCACAGGATCTAGAACATGCAGGTGGCCAGGTGTGAGGACCCGGAAGACCGGTGATGGTCCCAACGGCTGTATTTATTGCAGGTTCAGTCTGCCAGGAAGGTTTCTTGGTTGTGTCCCCAGCCATCCCGAGACCTGAGTGCTAACGATACCCTCAGCATACAGATGAGACAGACATGAAAAGTTTAGATCCCATAGCTAGAGGGTGGTGAAGGCCGAACTCACATTTTGGCCACCCAGCGTCAGTGGACTTAACTGCCACCGAGTGGCAAATGCTGAATGAATGCCTTATGTCCAAATCTGTCAAGGCTGCTTCCTGGGGACTTCGCTGTGGACTGTGTTTGAGTGGTTGTGGGTGTGTACTTGTGTATTCTCTGTCTCCCTCTGATGTTTCTGCCTTTGTAACTAAGCCAGAAATACTGTTTGGCTGGTGACAATCGTCTTTGCAGTTCTGGAGAAGAAATGGCCTGGACTGAGTTTCTGGGAGGAGATGGGTGGGGTGGGAGTCAGTTTCCGACAGCTCCTCAGCTTGGGCCTATGGCTCTTGTTGGAATGCTTGTTGTTGCACTGAGCTCCAATCCATGGGTTTACAGCCTGTGGTAGCTAGAGCTCTCCCTGAGTGTCTCTCCCTGTGCTTTCATGTTCAGAGGAGGAAACTGAGCCCAGGAAATAACTTGCCTGGAGTTACAGAGAGCAGGGCCTGGCAGGGACTGGCATCTGGCCTGGCTGCCATTCCCTTTGCGGCAGTCAGAATGGGAGTGGAACTGGGCAAGGACTGGCACACAGTACCCTTTCCAGAAGGCAGTGTGCCACGCTTGCTGAGGCATCCACTGTGTGGGCCTTCTGAGTGGGTTAGCCTGGAATCGGTCTCATAGAGTGACCTTGACCCCTGCCTTCACTAGATGAGTCCTGTCCCCTTCTGTTCAGATATCCTGGGCGGGTCAGGCTGGCCCAGCTTCAGAGCCACCAGCGACAGACACCTCCAATGTAGGAACACCCTTCTCTTCCTTCCCAGCCTCCTCTGGATGACCTTGGCTCCTGGGCTGTGTGTTGCCTTTCCGGACATCCCCACAGTGTGGCTCCACCCAGGATGTGAGTGGAGGACTTATCTCCCAAGAGAAAGCATGGTTCCTAGGGTGAATTCAGGTCTAAGAGAAACCATTTGTTTGGGGATCTGGCCCCAGGAACTGCGCAGTAAGCCAAACTTTGATCAGCCGCCGCCGTTGGCAGTCTAGTCAGTTTGGGATGGGAAGGAACTGTCCTTAGAATAGAAAAGGCCTTTCTTTACATCCTCTGTGGATGGAAAAGTCGTTTCTTTTCTTTGTAGGGCCCACGGGGAGGAGCCAGCTGGACATCTGAACTAAAAAACAAACATGTGTCTTGACACCGTCTGAAATGGAGGACCCTGAGTCAGGGCCCTGAAAGATTATACCCCAACCTCAGAATCTGGAGGCTGCTTTGCCTGGTCCTCTGATTTAGCCTTTGGTGGTTTTCTTGGGACCCATAGAGATCTGAGCCTATTCTGGGAGAGTCTAGGTGAAGGGACACCTTGGTTCTGGTCCTGGTGCTCCTAGGACAGACAGTTCCCTTTAAAGTCTGTTTTCTGTCTTTAGACAGAAGAGTTTGGCCCTCCAAAGGTCTCCTTCATCTTGAAGGTTCTGCAAGATGTAAACCCTGCTTGGACCTGTATAAAAGTCTCCTGGGGTAGTCTGTGGCACTGGTTATTTCTGACCATATTCACGACAGTGTGGCCAACAGATGAGAGAGCCATGGCCATTGCAGAGATGGATTGCTATTCACAGTCCCCAAGAGGAGGGGCATGGCAAACCATGCCGTATAGGGCCACTGGGAGTGGAGGGTGTGTGTGTGATGAACCTCTGCTGTGGGGAAAGGGATGGGAGGCAGGGTAGGGGCCACACAGCTTTAGGGTTGGTTAGCTTGACTAGCATTAGTGGGCTCTGGGCTGTAGAGGGATCTGCCATTTCTGATTCCTGGTTGTGGAGTTACCACTCTAGACTACAGGAGGCAGAGAAAGGCGAGCATGGGGCTGTGGCCTCTAGATGGGCCAAAGAGTGAACAGTAAGTTAACTCTTTCTGGGGACCGGTTAACCTGGGTCAGCTTCATATCCCAGGGTCTTTGAGACCGCAAGCCGCCAAAACATTATAAAAGACAGAAAACAAAGTCAACGAGTACCACAGGGGCTGGTTTTGAGTGCTACCGCGTGGGTTAGAGACAGGTCCATAGGCAAGTACATCAGGGCCAGAGGCTTAGATTAGCCCTTCTGGGTCCCTGTTCCGGCATCTCAGTAGGCAGCCGTGGAAAGCAGGCCAGATTTTGCAAATTAAAACACAGGTTGGCCTATTAACTTTGAACGTCAGATGAACAATGCATAATTTTTTAGCATGGGTACAGTCCATATAACTTGGGAGATATATGCTAAAAAATTAACTTACTACATTTTCTGAAAAAAAAGTCTTATTCAAGTCAGGCTCTTTTGAAAACAAACAAACAAACAAACAAACAACTGTAAGCTGGAGAGCAGCAGAACCATAGAGGTTCATTTCTCACAGTTCCGGAGGCTAGAAAGCCCAAGACAGGGCAGACTGACTGGGAATGGCAAGGGCCAAACAACATTGTAAGTGGCCAACTTCGTACAATGTCCACACATGGTGGAAAGGACAGAGTTCTTCTCTCTTGGGCCTCTTTTATAAGGTCACTAATTCCAATCATGAACGTACCTTCCTCATGACATAACCACCTTCCAAAGGTCCATTTCCACTCTCTTGGAGCTTACGGTTTCAACACAGGAGTTATGGGGGTGGCACACAGTTATTCAGGGGAGCACATAATAGCTGTGGCAACTCTAGGTTCGGTTACTTCTGCCTCAAGTCTGCTCTTCTGACCGTATCTTGCTCTAGGGTTTTTACATATAATTATCCTAGTGGGGGTGGGGGTAAGACGAGGAGGTAGAAGCAGGGAGGCTAGTGGAAGAAACAGTCTGAGAACTAAAGTGACCAATAAAACAAACCAACAAAACAGAGAGAGTGAAACAACAGAGGCGCTTCCACACGGAGGAAGACAGAGCTGGTCCCCATGTTCCCGACCCCTCCACCCTTGCCTCCCTTTATCCTTTGTCCCACTGCCCATCCCCCATCCCCATTTCCTCCTCCCTGCTCACCTTGGAGTAGGTGGCCCCATTGATGACCTCTCCTTTGCGCAGCCAGATGATGGACGCTGCGGGCTTGGCATTATCCGCATGGCAGGTCAGGTTAAGAGGGTCCCCCGCCCGAAGGCTGATCACAGGCCCCCCTAGGATGATGGGGTCATCTGGTGGTACTGTGGGGAGAGGAGCAGAGAGGTCAGATTGGGGTAGGTCTCTGCTTGAAGTGGCAGAGGATGATGAGCAAGAATTGTTATACTTTGATAAAGAGTGTCGCCCTCTGTGTTACAGTGATGGTAACAGTAAAAGGATGTGCAGTTCTTTGTCTTTCATGGCAGGAATAAGCATGTGTGAGCACAGGCGGTGTCCCTGGCTAGTCTCACAGACCTGGAAGAAGCAGTACTTTCAACTGAGATACCAGGGACCAGAAGGATCTTTATTTTCAACTTCAAAAAGTGAAGATTTATTTTTATCTCTTTTAAAAGATATTATTATTATTATTATTATTATTATTATTATTAGATTTTTCAAGACAGGGTATCTTTGTGTATCCCTAGCTGTCCAGGAACTTGCTCTGTAGACAAGGCTGGCCTCTAACTCACAGAGATCCGCCTGCCTCTGCCTCCCGAGTGCTGGGATTAAAGTTGTGTGCCACCACTGCCTGGCCTAGAATCCTATTTTTTAGTTGTGTGTGTGCATACACATGGATGGCAGTGCTCACAGAAGCCAGAGGCATTGGATCCCCTGGAGCTGGAGTGACAAGCAGTTGTGAGCTGCCTGATAGTTGTCTTGGGAACTAGACTTTGTTCTTACAAGTGTAGTACCTGCTTTTAATAATTGAGCCATTAATCCAGCCTCAACATTTTTTTTTTTTTTGGTCAAGCTTTGTTGCATCTCTCACAACAGTTTTGAAGGAAAAACACTATTTTTTAAAAAATCACAATTACATAGACCTGGAAACTGAAGGTCACCACCAAGGGACTTATTCAAGGTCACATGGTGAAAGTATGGCAGAGTTGGGGCTGGGAGCTGCACCTTTGACCCTTGATCAGCCTGGTCCCCTCCCTCAGTTGACAGGGAGGGTCTTTGGTCCTTTGGAGTTTCTACCCTGGCCTTTCCTGAGCTCTGTCCTTTATAGTAGCTCTTGAACCCTGATTCCCACTCAGAAGGAGTTACCCCCCTTTTTTTCTACAAGTAACAGTGTGGTTAGTGGCTGGTGGTCCCATATCCATAGTGCCAAAGGGAAACGAACATAGGATTGTCCCCTTCCCTGTGGAGCAAGGTCCCTGCAGGGCCAATACTGAACTTCAAGCCTTGAAGCATCTGCAGAGACACCTGTTGGCTCCAATGAACCATGTTTGATTACCGTGAAGGCCACACTGTAGGATGCACAGGTATGGAGGTAATCCATTATTATTTAAAAAGATGACCCTGGAAAGCCAGGAGTTGACTAAGGACACATGGCTGCCTCTGAGGCTGGTGCTTCTGGGCATATTTAAATTTCCCAGGCCCTTATTGCTCCATGGACAAGCCATGCAGGAGGTAGGGCTTCATGGAGACCATCTGAAGAGACTGTCCCCTGAGGAACCTCTATCTTTTCTGCAATCACCTATTACATTAGCCCTAGAGGATGGAAGGGGGCTCAGGGACTCACCTGACACACAGAGGTGAGAACTCTTCAAGTTCTCAGAATGAAGGTCAGGTTGGTGGGCGTGTCCTCAGGATTTGGGGACCTAGTGCAGAGATCTTTTATGGGCTTTTAGGGAAAGCATCCCTCCAATCTGACCCTGGGCAAACAAATGCCTATGCCTGTGGTTTGTAGTGGCGCCCAGCTACAGAACCTGCTTGCCTTCCTTCCCTCTGTCAGCTCCTGATTTAGTCCATTGGACTTCTCTAACAGACAAAGGGTCCCATGTTTGGCTAAGCCAGTACCCAAAGCAGCAAGCCTTTAAGTTGGTCACCTCACCTATCCCTGTATAATCCCGATGGAAGGTTGGCTCATTTCTAACAGCCCTGAAGAACCATTTCCTGAGGAACCTCAACTTTGTAGGGCTACTGGAAATGGGACCACTTTTTTACTCAAACCAGCTCTGGATGTCAAGAAGATCCTGGCCCAGGGAGAAAGTTGGCCTTATCTAACCCTTCCATGCTATAGCTCTGAAGCCAGGCCTCTCCAGGAGGCCCTGGAGCTGCCAGGCTGGAGGAGGCATGGGGGTATGGGCTGGACACTGCAGATAACCACCGACCACTTGTGCCCACTATACCCTTTTATTAGTGCCTGTAGCCTCCTTGGGGTAGGCGTGGCCAGAGAGCAAATGGGGGTTAATTAAGGCTTACCATCAGTGGGGGTGTGACTAGTGACTGATGAAAAGGATTTCAGCTTCCTGTGGTGGGGCTGAGCTGGCCCCTCCGGCAGTGAGGGCTGGGACTTGCAGTATTCTGTGGAAATTTGGGTGCTCCTGTTCAGTTCTCGCATTCCCGAGTTGGACCTGGGCTAGAACAACTGGTCCCGGAGCAGAAGGACCACCTAGCCCTTTTGGCATCCTCTGACTTGCAATGATGGGTCAAGAGACATGCATGGCAGAAGGTGTCCTGGATCAGAAGATGACAGCAAGGCAGTGTCCTCAGGCAGAAAGTGTGAACACTTCCGCTAGTGCTGATGCGTGTTGGAATAAGAGGGGGGGGGGGGAGTGTGTTTCGCTGGCAACCTTCTCGGACGGTTCATCAATCCTGTTGCCAGCATGCTCTCTGACCAATAAGACCCCAGAGTGAGGAGCTTGTCATCTAGGATATGGGAGAGTAACCATGTTTGAGTAGTCTGGGCTTTTTTTTTTTTTTTTTTTTTTGAGACAGGGTTTCTCCTAGAGCTGTTCTATATGCTGATCCAGGTGTGTGCGTGAGTGTGTGTCAGCATATGAGTGTTCTTCCTAGAAACTCATACCACAAGGCCCCTCCCTTCCCTTCTCCCTTGCTTCACCAGTGCTGTGTTTGAGGAGACTGCATTAGCAGGACTGGGGATGAGGGGAGCTGCGAGCAGAGGGGGGGCTGTGTTGTGGGAGTTTCTCCGGCACGCACACACATTCACACACACAACATCCACCCTCAGAATGGGTCCTGATTACATCTTCCCAAATAAGTGGTTATCATGCTGCTTATTCATGTAGCCATGCATTATTGATTGGCCCTCGCCTCGCTGCACACCAGATGGGGGTGGGAGGGGTGGGTGGGGGCGGGGTGGGTGGGGTGGGGTGGGTGAGGAGGGAGGACATTTGGGGGCTATTGGCTGAATAGAAATTAACACTCGTTCTTGGCAGCTGTAGCTCAGATGGGAGGTGTGTGTTGGGGGGGATTACTCATTACCTCTCCATTCAGATGGAGGCCCATTGCTAGGGCCGTGTGGGGAGGGGAGGAAGTCTCTGAGAAGCCCAGGCCTGGAGATGCATTATTCATACATCCCCTCACAGGCTTGGTTATTATCCCGAGCACTATAGAGTTTGGTCTCCTAATTTTTAATCACAAGGAAGGTGGAAGCGTTAGCCTTTTGGTGATTAATCTGGAGATAAAAATAGTTGACTGTTTTGGTGTTGCTCTTGTCAGTCAGGAACTGAATTTGCATTAAGTGTTGGGGGATTGAGGGCTGGTGAAGACCCAGTAGAGCCCAGGCCGTCTCTGGTTTTGACTTCGGGACTGGCCAGGGTGAACGTATCTTGCCCAGTTGGCTTGAACAGAGGGGAGCAGACCCTCCTAATATGGGTCCCCACCACAGGGGTGGTAGCTCTTTTAGTTGACTTTCCTGCCACCCAGGGTTTGGAGCAGTGCCTAGCATCTCTCTCCCTGCTACGCCCTTTCTCTGGTACCTGTTCTGCAGAGGGCAGTATGAGGCACCCATCTCTCATTCTGTGTGGGTGGGGAGCCCCTGAAAACCCTCTCCGAACTTTGCTGTGGAGAACAAGGGGGTCTCTTTAGAGATTGGGAAGACACAACACAGTAAATTCACAAGGAAACTGAGGTGAGAAGGAGAGAGATTGGCCTGAAGTTATTAGGGAGGAAGGAAGAAGGGAAGGAAGTGGATTTATCCAGGGAGGTAAAGCTTTTACATTTTTTGATAAATTAATCCCCCCCGCCCAATTCAACAGGATTCTACATCTAGAAGTTGCTGAGGAAACACCCCTGAGTCTCAAGCTCTCCTGCGATAGCCTTGAACTTGGAACTGGAGCTTGTGACCAGCTTTTTTTCCCTTCTTTTGCAGTGCCAGTTTGATGGAGGACTGCCTGGGACTTGGGACAGAGGGCTGTTGCCCATTCTGGAGTGTTCAGAATGTGCTTGATGTCCACTGACTGACTGTACAGAGCTAAGTTCACTTGGCTCATTGGCCTTGACTTATCAGCTTGGCCAAACCCTCTGAATAGCCCAGGTACAGTCGTGGGGTGATGTTGACGATGTTCCCTCCAGAGTCCAGTGGTCACCCAAGTGGACTCCTGGCTGGGTTTCCAGGAATTCCTCAGATACTATGTCAACCCAGATGGTTGGCTCCACAGATGGCCATCTGGGCACAACTGCCTCGTGAGTCAGCAGCATCCACACAGAAGGTTCTGTGTGGCAGCTGGAAGGGTGGGAGGCCAGCCAGCCGCTCTTCCTGCCTTCAACCAACATGGGGGAACACTCACGGAACTCAGGCTTTGCGGGGCAGAGTGGGCCTTTAACTGATCAGCAGTGAGTTCTCCGTCCTGTAATGGAGTGGTCTATGAAACACTTGAATGGGTCATGTCCTTATTCTGCCTTGAAACCCCTGGGGCTCCCCTACTGTACTTGAAACATGATTTGGGCTCAGAGTTGCCCACAAACACCTTCACCCATGATGGTTCCTGGTGCTCCGGAGACGCCAGTCCATCCATCTTCCTCCTTCCCCAGATCCTAGCCCATCAGCTCCTCTGCCTAAGAACCCATGAGGGCACCATTTCAACATCACCTCCTCAGAGAGGCTTGCCCTGTCCATCCTGTGTAAGAGCCCATGGCCTTCCATTTACACTTCTCACTGTGTCTTCTTCATGACAGAAGAATAGGAAAGATCTCATGTGCCATGGCCCTCCTAGCATCACTATGCCTAGGTTAGTAACCAACTCAAAGAGGCCCCCTGATATACATTTGTTGAATAAGTAATGAAAGATTCCCTTGG